CGCTTTTTGTGTAGCTAGTCAAGACATCAAATTCTGGGCTTCGCTGATGTCCTCTTTTGTGCAGCGTTTACCAACCCACCACACCACACACCTTTCATTTAAAGAGCTCAAGGTGATAGGCAGCTCTCTGCTATGCCCTTCCTTTTGTTCTCACAACAACCCTGTAGTGTATAGGAACTGTGGGACAAAGGAAACATAAGAACTGGCCCTCCATGATTGATCAGAATTTGAATCTGGGTTTGCTGATCTCGAACCACTGCTCAGTGCCAGCCACTGGGTGTTCTCTACCTTTGTTCAAGTAAAGGAAATCTTGTGGCTTAGTCAATTTCTGAGGCAGATTGGGATGAACTCATTAAAAAAAAAATTGCTATCAAAGATACCAAAGCGAATGGCAAATTTCCTACAATAAGCCTTTCTGGTCCCCTTGTATCTATTATTGGCACCAGTTTGATACTTGTTCCCATTTCATTCTCACAAATGTTCCTAAACCCAGTGTAAACCCTTGTCTAGTTTCAAGGTGGGGCTGTAACGATACACTTGCCTGCTCCCCCTACAATACTATAAAAAAAGAGAACCATTGGTTCCCCATAATTAACAGAGCTAGCCGAGTTTGCTGAGAATTGTGGTTCAACAGCAGCTAGAGGGCTACAGATTCCCCACCCCTGCTGGGCAATCTCTGCAAAGGACTGCAGACTGTTGTACATAGTATGTTTAGGTGTGTGTCATGTATGTGTTTCACTTTGAGAGTGGGCAACTAAATTTCATTTTTGATGTGTGCTGCCTTTGTGCCCACAGTAAAAAAAAATGACAATAAAGGTTATCTTATCTTATCTAGAAGGTCTGTATCTTGAATGCCTGGACTCAATTTCCTGGACTCCACAATTTCCTGGACTCCACTAGAAAGTGTTGAAATGTGGTGGGCATAACATTATGACAGATTATTATTTAGCCCCTTACAACCTCCGGACTCATTTTGGGAGATTTTTTTTTTTTTTTTGTTAATTTGCTTCTTAGATCGTCTTGGCCATTCAGGAAACTAACCTTGCCTTGAACAGTTGACTTCATACATTGTGCTAAGCTTTCACCAGGTGTTTGGCTTTGTGCGAGTTGCGTGCAAACAAAGCCATAATGATCAAGACGTCTAAACCAGGGTTTATGGTTTATGGTGATTTGGGAACCAGACGGCAATGTTCCCTCAAACAGCAGTTAAAGCAAACTTCATCTAAGAGCAAGGTGTGAAACTACCCAAAAATGTGCAACACAACAGACAACTGAGAAGCAACAAAGTGCTTCCCAGGGAAGGAAAGTACCAGCATTAGGTACAAAGAATTGAGCCCAGTGCCTGATTGCTTCTCCTCAAAACCATCCTGTTTTTCCCTTCAATTCTGTCCCCCAAGTTAGGAACACAAATGAACGTCCTCCAATTCACATTTGTTTTATTGTGGGTAGTTTGCCCCCTCGTGCTGCTTCCTCCTTAGAAGATAATGGAAAGGGGAAAAAATACCCCCTTCTCTCCTATCCCAATTACTGTAAGTACCAATTTGAATATAACTCCTAGTTAGGCAAGAACCAGTTTCCACAATGCAAAGTGTTGCAAAGTGTTCTCTTATTATCTCTGGGTGGGTGTATTTTTTCCATCTTGTACCCCATCGACCAAATGAAGCGTTTATGGCCACTCCTCCTCCCCCCCTTCACTTCCTGTTTTTTAGCTCTAACACTCGCGCTATAGCTGCATTCAGTGCCGCAATGCAGTAGAGCTGTAAATACCTTTAACAGCTGCCTGCCAACCAAGGAGTGAAATACTGTCTTTGTTCCGAATCTCTCCCCCCCCCCACCATCCCAGCTCCAGGATCTCATAAAACAGCCCACCAGAAATACATTTCTTTCAGAAATCACACAAACACAAAGCAATTCAATAAGAAGGCATAGAATGAATGTGTGTGTGTGTGAACACACACACACACACACACACACACACTGGTGTTGCAGACCTACGATTAATATACACACAACTAGTGGTTTAAGTGTTATTTTCGCCCTCCTTGCTTCACATACAAAACATCTGCAACCATGTGATCGTCAAGAATGGGTGGTTTTATGCCATACAAATTCCCTTTACACAAATTCTTGATATGGTTCTTCTCCCCATTTTTCATATTTTAATTTTAGGCAGATGATGAAGCCATTCTTTTATTATTATTATTTTTGCTTGATTAGCAAGGCTTCATTTTGTTAATACACTAAGGTTATGAATTTTCTTTGAAACATGAAGAGAGCTTGATAGCACTGGACTCTAACAGATACATTTATATAATTTTAGACACTTTTTAATGAAATTTAAAACCAGAAGGAGTCTGATAGCATTTTTTCCAACTAACAAATACCATATAAGCTTTTGTGAAGACCATATAAGCTTTTGTGTGGAAGCAAGCCACATTTGCTAACTGCTTTTAAAAAAAAAAAGGGGGGGGGGAGATTAGCCTGAAATGGAATTTCTTCCACTGGAGAGACATGTCCAGAAGCAGGAATTTGATCCAGAGTCTTTTGAACTTAGCCTATTAATTAGTTCATATTATGTATTCCAATATATTTCATCCCCTAAATTTAGATAAGAATTTCTTTTATCTAAGTACTAATCATAATTGGGTTATGGATTCAGACAGATTTCCAGCTGAACAACTCCACTGCAAAAGGGATGTGAACAATACGATTTCAGGAATTAAATCCTAAATACCTGTGGCTAAGGTATGTATTGTGTCATCAAGGCAGCTACACTAAACTCAATTCTAATGGCTGGAGTTATGGGGGAGGAGAAATGTTGCATAGCAAAAGAAAAAGTGGGCGGACTTCTCCAATAGCAGATGAATATTATTGTTTGTAGTGCTTTGCCAATCTCAGATATAAATGGGAGCCATTAAGATATACAGTAATCCTACAGTCACCTTGTTTGTAATGATGTTTTATTCTTCCATCTGGAATGGTTGCTAATATTTAGAAAGTGGTGTTCTATAAAAGCAATTAAAAATATGGGTCCAACTGAATAGACATTCCCTTTTAATAATTCAAGAGGAGGACAAAATGAAGCACTTTATATTTTTCAGCATAAACCAAAACACATTAAAGAGAGGATTATTCCTATCTCTCTAGTTGGTTATTGAACCATTAAACATTTTATACTACGGTTTTTGTATATAGAACTAAAGCTCTGAAACAAAATTGATTTAGAAGTAATATAATTCTAGCTATTACATCATACACATTTGTTTTTCAATCAGATAATAAACAACAGACTTTGGGGAAACTGTATTAATTTTATTTATGAATATATAAAAAGCAAAACATTTTTCCTTATCTAGGCAGTAATGCAGAATCTACCATACACTGCAAAAAAAAATATTTAAAAAGTAAAAGTAAAAAGTAAAAACAATATTATTGGGCAAATACAATATATTGTCTGCAATATTTATATTTATTTAGCAACAAGCCTTACTGAAATAATTTACTTATACATATCAGGGATATAGCTGGAAAAAAAATCATTCTGCCTTTATAAAAATGAACACAATAGATCCTCAGATCATCCCAATACATGCATATACACACCCACCCACAGTACATTCAGTTAGGCATAGGCTGTGCAACACATGAATGTCTGAATTCTAAATGTATGTACTCCATTTCTAGATAACTATAACGAACGTCATTTGTACCTGTGCCATTTTCCTCACTGCACTGTACCACTGAAATCAATTTAGATTTTAAATGCAAATCAGATGTGCAGCGTTATATGCTATAGAACAGTTTAACTGCTCTGCTTAAAATACACGCCTTCTTCAAGCGAGCAGACGAACAAAAAAAAACAAAAAAACAAAAACAAGATTCAATTTTTAAAAATGGCCAGGAATCCCAGCATGTTTGGAGAGAATCTTATTAACACCCCCCCCCCAGCCCACCCTCGCTCTCCAACAGCCACCAGAAATATAACGCCAACCTGGGCTGTCGTTTTCTGCCGTGCGAGAGAAGGAAGGGTCGAGCTGTGGAGACATCTCGGCGCGGCTAGTCCGATCGAAAAAGAGACGGTGGGATTCCTGCACCTAATCTGCCCGAGGACCTCTCTGGCTGGCGCATGAAGCGCAATCACCCTGCAGCAAACCTGGGTGCAAGCAGCACCTCAGCTTTGCCCCTTCTTAGGGACCCGGATGAGACAGGGAGGGAGGGAGGGAGGGAGGGAAGGAGAGCCACCTGTTGCTCATTAGACGCTGGAATTTTACGATTAGTAGACCAAACATTAAGGGGGGAGTGTTCTAAAATAGTGAAAAGGGGGTGTGGAAGAGAGGAAGCCGCAGAGGAGGGAATACAGTGAGGGGTTTTGTTTTGCTGGTTCTTTGCGGGTTTGCTGCTATGTCTTTCCTTTCGAGCTTCTCCGAGGCTCGGCGCACTTCACAAAGCCGCCCAAGCCCCGTGGCAGAGAGGCGCGGGTGGGTCTGAAGGGCAGGGTAGCCTCCGTAGGTAGGCAGGTGGGACAAAAGGCGACGGAGCAGCCCCTCGCCTCTCCCTTTCTTCCCCTCTGGGAGTACCCTACTATTACCACTAATACGGGGCGAACGGTGGGCGCTTCTTCTCTCGGGCTCCCCCCCCCACTCCACTTTCTTTTATGACTTCTGGAAGTGGCGTCTCCAGCGCCGAAGAGAAAGGGAAAGGGAAGTCCCCGCGGGGAGAGTCTGAAGTGAAAAATGAAAGGACTTCCTTACCCGATCGCTGCCACGGCAGAGCGGCCAGGAATCCGGGCGCGTCCCAGTAATCCATTGCGAGGCGCCCTCGGTCGGAAGCCGCGTCCAGTTATAACCTGAAGAGCGCCAGGCGCCAGGGAAGCAGGCAGGCAGGCAGGCAGGTAGGTAGGTAGGGCGTGAAGGAAAGGGAGCTTTGTGGCCAGGGCTAAACAAGCTGCCCTGCTGGCTAGGCTCGCCTCCCCCCCCCCCCGCCGCCGCCGTTCCCCGCCCACCCGTCTTGCCCGCACTCCGCGCCTCGTATGGGGTGGAAAAGGCGAGGAGAGCGGACTGCTGGGGGGGGAGCTTTGGGGGACGCCGGCTTGCAAAAGCCTCCCTGGCTCGGTCGGATCGCCGAGCCTAGCCAGCCGGAATGCGCCACACATCGGAGACAAAGGTTGGAAAAAGAGGGGACGAGGCGCCGGGAAAGGAGAATGCAGGGGTGAAATTCGCCAGGGAAATCAAGCAGGGGGGGAGAGGGGAGGGGGAAGAGGGCCCGGAGAGCCAGCAGCGCTCGCACATGACCAGGCGCAGCCAATGACGTGCCCAAGTCGGTCGTAAAAGGTCTATTACCGAGCTGTAAATTTTCTTCAAACAAAAAGGAATTTACTGCAATTCCTTGCGGATTTTTTTTTTTAGTAGCTCAGGCCGCTACAGCTGCCCCCACCCCCAGTAGAATACGTTTTCCTCTCTCTCTCCCTCCCTCCCTCTCTCTCTCTCTCTCCCTCTCCCCCCTGCTCCCGCCATTGCGCCGTCCTGTTCCCAGCTTCACTAGAACCCCGTCCAAGGCCTGAGCGAGCGTCTGCTGAGTGGGCCTGAATTACGCAGTTAGAAAGAGGGAGGGAAGCGAGAGGGAGGCCTGTAGAGCCAAGCCTGCAGAGGCGTCTCCTTCGACGCTGAGTCTTCTCATCCAGGCCCAGCGGGAAGCGGCGCGATCCCTGGCTTGTCTGCGAGGCGAGGCGGTATTTCTGTCTCCTTAGCGCGGGGCAGAAAGACCAGCCGCCCTCCCTCCCTGGCTAATCGGCTCTAGCAGGCCTATCAAGGGAGAAACCCGGCCCACTCCGTTCTAACCCTTTCTTGTCCCGTTTTCCAAAAGTGGGAGATCCTTCACATCAAAACGCGGGCATCTATCTATCTATCTATCTATCTATCTATCTATCTATCTATCTATCTATCTATCTATCTATCTATCTATCTATCTATCTCAATTTGGAGTACAGTATTGGAAATTGTTGTTCAGGGAGGAGCAGTGGCCCCGGTTGAGGGGCTACTTCTAGTGGTGCCTAAACAACTGGTGGTGTGGGGGACACAAATAAAAAATACCAGGCTCTCATGACTATCTTTCTAGTTGCAGAAAACGGCTTTCTCCAACTTTTCCAGGCCTTACAGATAGGCCTTGTGGGGATCCAGTAGCCTTGCAGCATGGAGAAGCGTGGAACTCTAAGGAATGAAGAATGCACCAAGAATTGCCAAAAAAAAAAAAAAAAAAAAGACAGAAAAGGGAAACTACTGACTTTCCAAATCTCAGCTAAACCTGAATATATGACTGGTCACAGTGACTTGTTCCTCTAGCCATTCAAGATGCCTCATCTTTTTTTAATCGCCATTGCCTAAATCTTGCTGTATTGGGTACTGTTTACGTACAGTGGAGTAAAATGAATCTTTTAGCAATTGTTGACTGCAGTTATTGACAGGTTGGTATATGATTCTTTTCGAAAAGAAAAAAAAAAACTCCTAAAAGCAAAATCTTAATTGGTTGTTGGAAATAACTATTTTATGTGGATATAAAGTAGGACTGAAATTGAAAAGACTTTCTTCTAAGGAAGATATTAAGGCTGGAGATGGAAGCTAAGGAAATCATTATTTTCACTGTCCTAGATCCAGAAAAGCAAACAAGTGAAATCTGCTGTAGTAAATGTTTTTGCCTCTTGTTGTAAATCCATTAATGCTTTCTCTCTGTGTGTAGTTGTATGAAATAAACATTTATGGCTCATATTATGGAATTGGTTCATGAAGGGGACTGTAGAAAGCAAATGGCCATCCTGGCAGGTTCATGCCCACTTGGGTTTTACCCCCAAATCAGTAACACAAATAGATTCAGTTTCAGTGTTTAAAATGCAGATATGTCACCTTGAAGGACTATATAATCTCTGCTTCCAAAATGGCTGCTGCCTTCAAAGAAAGGACACAAAGGGCAGTGTTGCTTTTGATTCCAATATTTAGACTTGCCCAGAAGAGGAAGCCTACTTTTGGGGTGATTTTACTGAATGCTATAGAAAATAACACTTTACGTTTACCAAAAGAACAGCAAAGAATAGGACTTTCCTCATTCAAAAGCACCCTAGTTTAATTTTGAACTAGCTTTGCATAAAAGTGAGGCATCCTCTTTGTTCAATTTGGAAAAATGGGTATCTCCTTCAGTTAAGATGCTGTCCATTGTATGAAATCTCCAAAATCCAACAGCAGACAAAGACACACCGGTCCCACCCACACCATTGATTCTATAAACCTTGAAACAATCCTGCATGCATGCATATATTCACTTGGAAGGAAGTTCCACCTAACCTTTCAAAACTTAACTTCCAAGTCAGCTGTACTTGTACAAAGCCTGCATTGCAACCTTCAGCTAAGTCTTGCTGTTCTCCAGCAAGAGATATTTCATCTCTATTTTATTATTTTTTTTAAAAAAAAAGATTTAATATAGACACCCATTCCAGTGGACTCTGGACGGCTTACAAAATACAATACTAAATTAGAACAATTAAAAATATTAGCTACAGATCCTTCATTGTTTAATATGTATATTTAGACAAAATGGACTCTCCTTTGCCAGGTTTTTGGGGCTATTTTCCTAGACTTAACCTGTATAAGTTAAGGGGAGAATGACCAGCAAGGCGGTTTTTGCCGCATTTATGCAAATTCCTGCACCAAACCGTCTGCTTTGCAGTTTTTGCCGCAGACCCTTCACGTGGATGAGCTCCCAGCCTGCTAGTGTATGCTGGAAATATAGGGTGGGGGTGTGTTTCAGGCAGGGAGGGGGCCCTTTGGAACCAAGGAAGAGCCTAGCTAGGCTAATGGTTCAGCAGAAAGTCCATAGAGCAAAGAACTCTGTGTGTGTGCAACGTTCATTGGAGCCCAAACTAGGTTTCTTAAAAGAAAAGGGAATTATATGGTTGAGAAAAGAGCTTCTATACACAAGGTAAGAAAAAACAGTGGCAGAAATGGTGTTGGGGATGGTACACAAGGCTGGGTGACCCTCAGTTTCTAAGTTTTCAAAGTGTAGCATATTGCAAAGGTTCTCTGCTTGCCTTTTAGCATTCTGGAGGACTTCTGGCCTTTGGGGTAGAGAGGAAGGAAGGAAAGAGGAGAAGAGGATGAAGAGAGGTGGCAATTTTTTTAAAAATAACTTAGCAGTGGAACAAGAACAAGATTCCTATGGGCTAGCTAGTGAGTTCGTGCTTTCAAGTAAGATGTAACCCTGATTCATTGTATGGAATGCTGCTCTCTATGTACGGAGATCAGTTGTAAACCTACCTCCTTCAACTTCTGGTTTCTAGATAAAGTGGATGACACCCATATTCCCCACTGCCAGCTGGGGATCATAGGTGCAGGAATTCCAAAGACAGGGCTGTGAATTGCTGGGGGAAGCGCTATTCTAAACAATTATCTTGGAGCTGTGAAATGAAAGCCCGTTCTGAGGATTAGCCTTCTGAACCACAATCAACCAGGGGCTTCTTAATGGAGAAAAGCTCTTTGTTTAGCTTAGCTGCATCTTTAAGGCAGAAGAGCATCCTGTTTAAAATTGTCAGGAGAATATACTAATGGTTCGTTCCTTGGGTGATGTGGAAAAAACGGTTACTCATTAAAGGCTATAAATGTTAGTTTGGACCGCATCATCATACAATTTCACTGAAATAAATGGAGCTAGAATAAGAATTGTCATAGATACGAAAAGGTGCCCTTTCTTTTTTTCCCCGTGTATTGTGGGGAGGGTGGATCCCCCCACGGGTGAGTGACAAGAATTATACCAGAGAAAATAATGTAAAAAATAAAAGAGTTGTGTACAAGTTTACAAATCAGAAAAAAACAGGGTAGCAGGCCAATCCCTATCAGTAATTCTATTGTAATTTATAAATTTTGGGGAGTTATTTGTAAAAAAAAAAACAATAAAGGCGAGATGCAAAAAAATAAAAATAAAAATGTAATAAATGCATACAAGCAAATTCATTCTATTTCCTAAACAGAGGAGGGAGAGGAAATAAATTCCCCAGAGAGAGGTTTAGACAAATTCTAAAGGAATCTATGAACTTTCTATTTATTGTCTACAAATGGGGAATGCACCCTCCAGCATAGAGGAAAGTTTGCTGAAGGTGCTTAAAAAGGCTTCTCTCTCTATGAAATCTGGGACTGCTACAGACCCCTGAGCCTAATTGTTACTAACTGCAGTTTGCCCCTTACTTATATGGCAACAGCAGGGTAGTTAAGTGCCTGAGCTGCAGAATCTTGTTGCTGTCTTTAACATAAATCGCCTTCAAATCTTGACCCAGTTATTCCAGAAGCCTTCAGATGGTTTAAGGCAAGCTAGTCTCTCCCTTTCACACTGCAATACAAGAATCCCACCATATTGATCCCTCTAACAAGACTGCTGTAAGGCTTTCAGAGAGATATGTAGGAATGTCCTTGCTGTTGCTAGGACCGCCTCCTCAATGTTCCTTTGTTTCTGATTCCGCAACCAGGCTTCTGAACATCTCCATATCTTCCTAGATATAGACCAGCATGCTTGGGCTGCTATTTACAGGAAGGAAAGAAAGAAGATGCTGCGCCAATCGATCCAAATGAAAGTACCACTCCCAAAATGGAAGACAATCCCAGCAAATCGTCTAGTAGCCAGAATGGCTGAGAACAGCAAATATTTTTTTAAAAAATAGGGGATAACTGATTTTGGAAATATCCAGGTTAAAGATAACCCCAGCAGATCTCCTTGTACTCAGAATGACTATGAAAAGCAAGTGTTTATAAATAGGGAAAAACTGATTTTGGATGTATGAAAATTGAATAAAATCATGTTTCTAATGAAGCTTCTATTTCATCCTGAACTGTAAAAAAAAAAAAAACCATGTGCCTGCTGGTCTGATAGATTGTATGTGGATAATACATGGAATGGGTAACTAGATTGGCCTTTTCAGATAGCAAAATCCAGTATTTTGTCTTCAAGAAGATCCAGTCAGAACTTGTGATGGTGGCAATATGTGAGCACAAACTAGCCCACCTCATTTTAGTCAAGCATATTAATAAAAGCAGCCCAGTCTATGGTTCAGCGGGTCATGCAAATGCAGACCCTTGTGTTTGTTCATTTAGTAAACCATGGCTACATTAACTAACCTTGAATAAGCCTGTGCTAAATGTTACAAGGACTCCTTTACTGGTAAGAAAGAGAAATTGAAAGAAGTGTGTGTTTAAATTTATATACCCCCATTCATTCTCAACAATATGTGAGAATATATAATATTCATTCTCAACAATATATATGAGAATATACAATGATCATTCTCAACAATATGTGAGAATATATAATATTCATTCTCAACAATATATATGAGAATATACAATATTCATTCTCAACAATATATATGAGAATATACAATATTCATTCTCAACAATATATATGAGAATATACAATATTCATTCTCAAAATATATATGAGAATATACAACGATCATCCTCAACATCGGACTCATGCAGAAGCAACATTAGGTGTCCAAAGTTGCTTTTTCACGAGGGAACTGGACTTTCTTTTTTCTTTGAAGAACCTTCTTCAGCTCTTTTTCCAAGAGAAAAAAAAAAACTCCAGTTGCCTCGCGAAAAAGCATCTTTGGGACAACCGGGACCTGGATGGCTGAGAGTCTCCATAAACATTAGGTGTAAAGAACGGTCTCGGCAGCCACGTTTTTGGTTTGTTGGCCTTCGCTCTCTCCCAAATCAGAAGGAGCCGGCGCTTGCTTTGAAATCCCATGAAAATCAACGGGAAGCAGACCTCCGCGCTCGCGTGTCAGGCTGCAATCTAGGAGGCTTGGCGCTTACAGTGGGACTCCGCGGCCTGCTTGGGCAGAAGCCGTGGCGGCCTTAATCCGTGTGCCTTCAACTGAGCACTAATCTAGCTGTTCTTTCCAGCCGTGCACGGCGAAACGCGTTTACCTGAAGCAGGGCCGTGTGAAACCAAACGGGCCTGCATTCCTCGCGAAACTTGCGGGTAGAGAAGGGAAGGAAGGGACTTCGATTTCCCGTCGCAGGCGCTGGGCTCACGGCTCGGTTTCGCGAGGCAGGCTCAGCTTTCTCAGAGAGGAGGGCAACGGGACGCTGGAAGGGGGGTCCCCGGAACAAAGCGGTTTCGAGGTGCCTTGGGAAAACCGGGGCCCAAATGCCTCCGCGGCTTGTCCGCTTGCCTTCTACGGTAGACGAAGACACGAAGGAAGAAGCCGGGTCATAAATAACACGTCGGATTTTTTATTATTATTATTATTATTTTGATTATCGATAATGAGAAAAAAAATCAGTGTTTAATTAAAATATTTTCTTACGTCCCTCATCGGTCCACAAATTATTTCCTCTCTTAATTAAGTTAATTTAGGAGAAAGAAAGGGGGGGGATTGAACCATTTTAAGCGAGCTAAAGAAGTGCACTTAGCTGGTTTGATTCTTAAAGGAATAGGAGAGGCCGGACGTTTCCGCCCTTGGGGGAAAAAAAGAAATCCTTAGTAAAAAATCTGCAGGTAAAAAAACTACTAGCTTTTTTAGTATCAAAGTCCAAGGAGGTGGAAGGAAGGAAGGAAGGAAGGAAGGAAGGAAGGAAGGAAGGAAGGAAGGAAGGACAATAACAAATGTAGAAAGTGCAGCAGTTGCCATATGGGAATCAGCTAAGGCGCCCAGTGCAGTAACAAAAGCCTAACTCTCATCTAGCCCAGAAATGTCAGAAGGTAGTTTCAAAGAAAACAAAAGGTGCCTTGAGAGTTGTCCAATCATGGTGGAGGTGGCAGAGATCAAGACAAGCGCCCCCGGCCTGTCCATCCATCCGTTGATGCCCCGAAGTCTTTGGCCCAGGTTCCCAGCAGCAGGAGGAAGAAGAGGAGGAGGAAGAAGATGTTAATTTGCTGGGGCCGAGGCTTGTCCTTCCAGGTCTCTGTCGGCTTCCCTTTTGATCTCTCCTTCCTTCCCCTCTTGCTGAGTGGCAGGGAACTTGTCCTTGTTGTTCTCTTTTTTCCATTTCATCCTCCGGTTCTGGAACCAGATCTTGACCTGCCGCTCGGTCAGTCCTAGCGCGTGGGAGACCTCGATCCTCCTCTTCCTGGTCAAGTAGGGGTTAAACAGGAACTCCTTTTCCAGCTCCAAAGTTTGGAAACGGCTGTAGGTTTGCCTCCCTCTCCGCCTCCCGGGAGCTGCTGTTGGAAACAAAAACCACAGCAGTTTCTTTACAAAAGGAAAAAAAAAAAAGAAAAAAAATAAACCAGGAAACAAAACAACCAAAAGCAAAAGCTTGGCTCGCAGCCCCGGCGCTTTTAGCTTTCCTGTCCCAGAGAGTAAAGTATGTTGAACAAATTATTTTCCAGTGCCCAAAGCATGAGCTCTGGCTGTTTATTCAAACCTCTTCCTCAGTTACAACTTACAGAGTGAATTAACTTGCTATAAATCCAAGTTCTCTTGAGTGTACCGTACGTGATCCAAACGCAGTTTTAACACTCAGAATAAAAGCTGAAATATTATCTGGTTTGTTCTGGTTTCTTTCAAAATATCGGTTTTTAATGCCACAATTCAAATAATTTGTGGTTTGGCCGTTTTAAGAAATCCTTATATTGTCAGAAACAATTGTACGGAGTGTGTTGTTAACAAGGAATTATCGCTATCACAACAGTATAATGTCACTGTTAAAGGAAAATGAACGAAAGAAAAAAGGGATTGACGGAATAACTGGCAGCTTAATTTAAGAGGGGAAGAAAAGAGAGAGAGAGAAGTAGAAAGAAAGCAAAAAGAGAGGAGACAAAGGAGAGAGAGAAAAAAAGAAAAGAAAAGAAAGAAAGAAAGAAAGAAAGAAAGAAAGAAAAAGAAAGAAAGAAAGAAAGAGAAAGGAAAGGAAAGGGAAAGGAAGAATAAAGGCAATCAGTTTGGATCCAACCTTGTGGTCTCATCCAAGGAAACACTGGAGAAGGAGACGAGCCCTGATTTAAGGGCCTTGATTCCTCGCCAATATTAGCACAGGACGATTTACAGTCGGGATACTGAAGCAGCTCGGCCTCTTGGTGTGTCGTAAAAATCGTCGGTCGCTGTAAGTTATCGTATCCGTAAAACTTGGTCGGCTCGGCTGAACAAGGCAGGCCGGAGCAGGGGGCTTGCAAAGGAGGCGGGGGAGGCTGGTAAGCCGAGGGGCTCCCCCCGGCCAGGTGCTGCGGTTGCTGCGAGTGGGGAGGAGGAGGAGGAGGAGGAGGAAGAGGAGCCTGGGGAGAAGGGTGGAAGTACTCCGCGCCGCTGACGGCCGGGCCGGGCCCGGGAGCCGGCGGCGCAGGGGGGTAGCCCGAAGCGGCGGCCGCGGCTGCAGCGGCTGCAGCGCTGTTCCCGTAGAGCAGGGCGGCGGCGGCGGCGGCGGCGGCGGCGGCGGGCGCAAAGTGATAGTCGTAGTAAGCGGGATTGATGGGCGGCTCGCCCCCTCCTGCCGCCGCCTTGTACTTGGAGTACAGCGGATTGACAAAGTAGGAGCTCATCGGAGGGCGGGGGGCGAGCGGAGGCGCCGCCAGCCGCAGCAGCAGCAGCAGCAGCAGCAAGTCCAGGAGAGGAGCAGCAGCGGCAGCAGCGCCCGCCGCCGCCACCACCAGCGAGGCCTGCGCAGCCGCCGCCCGGATAACCCAGCTGCTCGGCCAGGCTGCTCCGGCGGCTCTGCCTGCCTTTGCGGACGCACTGGCGTCGTGGAGCAGAGCCGGGCCGTAGTCGCTGGCCGACTGACCTGCCTCACTGCTTTTACTATTTCCTATTAGGCACACACCAGCCCTGTCGCCGCCACACACTCACTCACAGGGGCCAGAGTTCAGGGCAAGGCAGGAGAGCGGCTTGGCTTGGCGCGCTCAACCTCCGGAGGCCAAAACGAAGTCCCGAACTAAGGAGGGAGAGGGGAGGGGGGGGGAATCCGAGCCCGTCTGCCCTACTTCCTAAAGTTGCCCCCTCGATGCCCCTGGCAAGCAGCCTCTACTCTCTGCGCCCCCCCCCCGCCGCCCCGCCGCCCGCTGGTAAGCGCCGGGTTCTCTGCTGCGACGCCCGAGCGCAAAAAGCGCGAGCGGAGAGAGAGAGAGCGATCAAGGGCAGATAACGCAGAGCGCTCGAGGGGCTGGAGGGGAAGGCAGAGCGTCCGAGGATCTCCGGCGGGGGAGGAGAGCGGAGAAGGCCCTTTGGACTTCTAGGGAGGCAGCCTTCCGGACCGGCTAGGGGAGCCTAGTGCCGGGGGAGAAACGGGTCGTGCCGCGCTGCCGTTGCGATCTAGGCTAAGGATGTAGCCGCTCAGCATTGAAACCGTGTCTTCAAGAAGCCGCGTCTCTGAACATGTGCAAAGCGGTGGCCAGCCTGCATAGGGAAGGGGGCTTCTGCTTTCGGAGCAAAGGGCCTTGCCGAGCCTCCAACAAAACAAAACAAAACAAAGGCCAAAGCGTCGCCGGTTAGAGGAGGCGGGTGCAGTTCCCCGGCCGGCGGTCTTGCGCAAGCGGGGTCCCCAAAGGCACCCAAAGGGACCCGGGCGACAGCGAGGGCCCGGGGGAGGGACTTACGATATCCCGCGACCGCTGTCGTCGAGGTCACATTAGTCGCCCTTTAAATGAATGTATTTGCTCGGCCGGGCCTGCGTATCTCGGCTGCTAGGGGAGCGCGGGTCGGAGGAGGAAGGCCGGAGGGGGAGCGCGCAGCAAAGCCAAGCCGGCCGAGCGGGGGAGGAGAGGAGAGTGAGGGCGGCGGATGCGGCGGGTAGGCCGCGGGCAAATGAGATGCCCATTTCCCCTTGACGCAGCGCTGCGGCTCCCGGGTGCATTGGCCCTTAATGGCAATCATGCCCATGAATACGCTTTCCGCAATTTGCCCTCGCAGGGCGTCGTTAGCCCAGCCGAGCAAGCGAACGGCATCCCGGAAGGGGCGCGCTGCGGAGGTGGGGGAAGTTCCCCGGGAGAGGGAGAGAGAGAGAGAGAGAGAGAGAGGGAGGGGGAGAGAGAGAGAGAGAGAGAGAGGGAGAGGGGGGGGGCGAAGTCCGGGAACAGCCGAACCCCGCCGTCCCGCACGGCCCATACCTTCCTTTGGAAAGCGGAGGCGAGGACTGGGGGGGGGGCGGGGGCTGTCTTCGGCCCAAGCGTGTTTCTGGAGCCCGGGCGTTGCTCTCGAGGCTGACCGAGGGTCTTCGGAGGAACGTCCCGGCAGGCGCGCAGGCGGGGAGTTGGTGTGACTCGGGCGAGAGAGAGAGAAAGATCGGAGAAGTCTTTCTAAGCCCTCCTGCCGAGCCGAGCCTCCTTCAACCGTAAGGCCCGGCAACTCCCCAGCTCTGGCCCGGTGGAAAAGGTGTGGTGCCCAGGCAAGGAAACAGAACCTGCAGAGGGCATTTCTTTTAGTGCCTTCCTGGCCAGAGAATCAAAATCCTGGATTGGGAAGGCTGGCAGACAGCAGTGAGTTTAAGAGGCGTTTTGCCCCAACACTTCACCCTGCACACTGAGCAAGCCATAAAGTCCAAGTCCCAGCCCAGCAGGGTCTTTAAAAAGAGCTCCATCATCTTGAAAGGCTCTATCATGTATGTCTTCTTTGGGGTTGGGGGGTGGGAAGTGGGAGAAGATCTGAGCTATGTTAACACATGAATGCTGTTTCTCTGGATTAGCAGTTGTCATGGGCTGTGCCTTCAGATAAATTGTCTCTTTTTAAGGTATGTAACGGTGTCTGTGTTTTTATTCTGAACTCTCTTACAGCAAGAGTATTACATGCTAGCCACAATATTGGCAACATAGCGGGACAGATTTTGGAATTTTTTTTTTTCCCATTCTCTCACACAAGAGGCTTAAAGAAGGCCTTATTTGTCTTCCAGTCACCCTGTGTATTTCCAGGAATGAAAGAAGTCAAGCTGGGCTCTGTTGCTTCACAGACACATTTGAGCCGTGCTCTTAGCAGCAGACAGGAGTGGTTTGCCATTTGGCTTTTTCTGGGACTCCCCAACCTACCCCTGCTGGGTCTTTGCTTGAGCTTTCCTGATGGTGTTCCTTCCAAGTTGTGTCCCTGCTTAATCCAAGTGCTGCCATCTGCTGAGAGCTTTAACTGAATATTATAGCTGCTGCATTTGAAAGCAGAATGGAAGAACAAAAGATTACAAAAATTGACACCAGGTTTTGCTCTCTCTCTCTCTCTCTCTCTCTCTCTCTCTCTCTCTCTCTCTCTCTCTCTCTCTCCCTCTCTCTCCCTCCCTCCCTCTCTTTCACACATGACTAACTGGGTGCCATGGTTTTTGCTTACCATTATAAATTTAATATGCAAGCCACTCTAAGTTTCCTCTGGGATTGAGGCACTGGTACAAGTTTAATTAATAAAATGTCCCCAAGGGCACCTTGAAACCCCTTGGGTGGCAAAGCTTCTGCAAGCTCTGTTTTGTTTCCATAAAATCCACATTAACCTCTTGATAAAAATAAAAATCAACAATGTACACATTTCTATAGGTCACACTTAACTTCCTGACTTGTGCTTTAAATACAAAACGATGGCCTGGAAATTCATATTTTTCATGTGCACATATGCAATCTTTAATCATTAACTTTCATTGATATAAGTATTTTAGAAATACTGAATTGCTTATTTTACACCATAATTAATTAAAACATACTAAAGAACAGTCATGTTCACTTATGCTGATGAAAAAAATAAAATAAAATCCATGTATTTTCTTCTTTTCTGTTTATTTCCAAACAGAGGGTATACATATTTTTAAACAATTATTCTGTTGGACAAAGCCGGGGAATTATAAGAGAATAGAGCGATATCGCCCTCTAGTGGCAAAAAATAATAATAATCTAAACTGGCTTTCCGAATAAAATCCCATCAGTTTTTTTCTACAAAGATTAGGAAGTTAATTCTACTGTCTTTTAATCTCCATTAATAAGAAAAAAAAACATCTGTGCTAATTTTCCTTGTATGAATATTATTGATCTAATCCAAAATTTAGAGCAAAGTGTGCATTTATTACAAAATTACCAATCAATTTTATAATCAGTATTGTAAGATAAAGTATTATTGCATATGCCTTGCTTGGCAATTTTAGAGATTGCAAAATAGTTAACTGTGAATTTCAGTGTTGTCCTCTATTAGCAAGCATATAAGGTATTTCATTATTAGGTCTTTTTCTTAACCAAATGTTTTATTTAAGAGGGAAATATAATTTAAAGACACTACGAAGTCTGAGCTAATTTAATGTGGTGTGAATTTTTTCACATTTATTTTTGTTTTCATATTATAGGCTTTCCCTTTTGAACTTGATTTTTAACTTAAAATCCTGACTGCAACCTTCATTTCCCTGTCTGTGCGTGATGTTATGGTAACAATCCTTCCCTTCCACATCATGCTAAAAATGGTCTTTCAAGCACATGTAAGAACAGGCCACTTGGAAGGGATTTAAGATGCCCATATTTCCAACCAGAACCCATCAGACTAGCTAGTAACATTCTGAAATCAATACACATGGACTTGGATTAACCCTGGGAAGTTTAAATTCAGCTCAGCTCAACCCCGAAGGCTGATAGCTTTTTTTCTTGCTCTAAATTGCTATGTCTGGTAAGTCTGAGAGAGGTCTAATTTTGTCACGTCTCTTAACTTGCTTTTAGCCCCTTCCCAATCTGTTTTAAAAAACGATTTCTGCTTTTCTCAACTGATCCTCCAATGGCAATCCCAACCCAAGAATTGTCCCAACTTTTCCAGGGTTGGCGTCTTAACAGTTGATGTTTATGGTCCAACTTTTTAAGACCTCATTTTGTTAGCGTTTGTGTTTTTGCCCTTTCCAAAATACCCCACAAACATCAAAATAATGGTGGTCTCAAAAGTACCATCCCATATCGTAAACTCATTAGGTCCAGACGTCTGCTCTTTTCAATGGTTTTATTATACCCTGGCTCTTCCTGTTTTCAAAAAGAACGATAGGCAGAGAGTTGGCGGATGAATAGAGCAGCAATCCAGCACTTTTTTCTCCGGCCTTTATCCTTCAGGCTGCTGGGCAGGGAGCAGGGGAAAGGGAAGTAGGATACCATCTCCAGATCTAAGAAGCCTCAAAGTCCCTGAGGCAATTTCTCTGTGTTTAAATATTTGTTCAGATACCTTAAAAGGCTGTATTTCTAGATTCTTAAACTTGGCATAGAGCTTATGCCCGTTTTGTCTATTTATTATCTATCTATCTATCTATCTATCTATCTATCTATCTATCTATCTATCTATCTATTATCTAAATCTGATTTCCTGAAATCAATAGGACTTCACAGTCAGTTGGCGGATTTTAGCAAACTTTTTAAAAACACAGGCATGTAAATATAGTTAGAACAAGTTACTTGGGTAAATATTTGATTGACGTGAACCCAGGATTAAATAGACATTAAGTATTATTGGCACAACTGACCAGGTAAAGGAGAGATTTATCATTTTTTTCTGGCCTATGTTTATTTTTAAAAAAGAGAGAAAAAGTTCCAGGAGATACCATTTGGAGGTACAGAATAATTGTAACTTGATTTCTGCTCTTATTTTGATCGACAAATAAAGATTTGTTAATCTCACCACCTCATAAAAAGAAATAGTTCCAAAAACTTTTGTACTTTTTTATTTTCTGAACAAGTAATATGTTTGTAGGATGCCATCAAGAATAATACTGTTGTTCCCTAGGTTGGTAGCCAGTTGGGAGTGGAAGAAGATCCTTCAGTCACTGAAAAGATTTTTGAAGAATGGAGTCACTGTATTTTAGATTAAGCGTGATCTGGTAGAAACCGTGGATTTGCAGACAGTTTTGGAGACAGAAATGGGCAAGCTGTGACCTCATAGCAAGCAGCCAAAGGCACTTATGTCACACTGAGATCTGTCTTCCCATTTGCTTTCCCTTCAAAAGCTGAAGATTTTGTTTTCATGAGCCCAAATTTTATTCCAGAACCTAGGAGATATGCAAGCAAATAAACAAACAAACAAAAAACAGGGAACAAGAAGCAAATAATAATAGAAGATAACGAATTGGAGGTTTTTTAATCACAAGATATCAGGATCTGAAGATCAAAATTGAAAGATTATGGCATAAACCAGCCATAGTTGTCCCAGTGGTTATCAGCATACCAGGTGCCATATCCAAAAATCTTGGATGACACTTAGAAAATATGTGCATTGACAACATACCCATCTATCAATTGTAAAAGGCCACATTGCTTTGAGTCACATATATACTATGCCAATATATTATGACATCTTAGGTTAACACCAACACCAACTACAGAACTGGCAGTTGTGCTTCACATTGTTGTGAACAGATAATAATAATTCATTCTTAAATAGAATCACAAATAAAACAAAAATACAGACTGTGAACCAAAGTGTTTTAGGCCTACAAACATTAATAAAGTTTCAAGTACCACTCTTAATACACTGCATTGAAGAAAGGAAGCTGTGCTTAAATAATAATATATTAATAATAATATTGGCACTCTGGATGCCATACCAAAACATCTTGGATGGCATTTAGAAAACTTCTCAGTGACAAAATTTCCATCTGTCAACTATAAAAGGCCACTGCTTGGATCCACAAATATACTATACGGATTATGATTACAATATGACATCCTAGGTTGGGAAGAACGCCATGAGAATGAAGGCCAATCTCATAACTGGCAACTATGATTTCACTTTTTTTAAAACATCTGGGTATGTAACCATAATAATAATAATCCCCCTTAATTTTAGAAAAAAAAAACTACTCTGCTTAGAATTGCCTATATTCTTAGAGACTGCCTTAATAAGTCTTAATAATTTTTAGGTTCTTGGTTAAGACTTGAATTATTAAATTTCCACCAGTCCTAGACTGTGAATCTAACTGTGGGTTAGCCATACATAATAATCCCCATTCTCATCCTTCTTTCTGACGTGAGTCTTGGAAAACTAAGTATGCAGAACCCAGAGAGATGGGGGAACAGTCAAACTGTCTTTGAGGAAGTGCAGGCTTTGCGTGCTAATGCATTAAAACAGCTTGCTTTAAAATTCAGGATTATCGTGAAACTCCTTAACTTTGCTATAACTCTGGGCAAGACACTGGAAAGGGGGGGGGGGTGAGGTTTTCTAAGTCACTTTTGCAAAGCACTTCAAACAATAAACTCCCCCCAAATAATATGCACTCACTATATATCAAAACCAAGTGAAAGGTGGGAGAAAAAACAGCTTTTCAAGAAAGTCTTCTCTGCCCCAGAATGCTTTCCCGCTCATCCCTTTTCATTCTAAAGTATCAAGGGTCACATATCTTTCATTTTTAAAAAATCCTCTGATCTAAAGTTTGAATTAATGCACCTGGGGAAAAAACTTTAAGAATAATTAATTGCTGCAATTCTCTGTACACATGTGCATTTGTGTGTACGTGTGTATCTGGGTGTGTATCATAAAAAAATGCTACCATATTTTCACAGAAATACACCCATAGTGTTAGTCCCCTTTATTCTCTTTTTCCTTTATTCGTTTTTTTCATTTTCATTCTTCGGTTCTGAAACCAGATTTTAACCTGTCTCTCTGTGAGGTTTAAAATCCTAGCAACTTCATAGCGGCGTTCTCGGGTGAGGTACATATTAAAGAGGAATTCCTTTTCCAGTTCCAGAGTTTGGAATTTTGTGTAAGGACAACGCTTTTTCCTGGTGGAGCGAGCATGAATCCAGTTTGCAGCGGGGTTATCTGAAAAGGAGGGAAAGAGGAGAGGGGAAGAAAATAAAGGAGGGGAGGATTGGGTGAGGGGAGAAGGGCAGCCATGGGGGGGGGTGGAAATGAGAGGAAGGTTGTTAAATTAATTTCAGAAGGATCCCTGTGCTTTTCACAACTAAGGAGAGATTATCATAAAAGCCTGGAAAAGCCCAGTCTGTTGGCCTGACCGAGTGAGGTCTTCTTGATGACAGAAGTAGTTATGGGGTTCCCTTTTTATGGGTGCCTGTTGGTGCTTTGCTGGGATAGAAGTCTAGACGTTTTTATAGGTTAGTAAAACTATCCCTTTTGCACACTGGAGCCTTACAGGTTGTGGCAATAAATCAGGTTGTGTGTGGTTTCCTTCCTTCCTTCCTTCCTTCCTTCCTTCCTATCCCAATTTTCTCCTTTTTTAAAACTTACTTGGGCCGAGCTGCTGCTCCTGTTTTTCCTCCTTCAGGTCGCTGAGCGGGCTGGGGTTACGGCTGCCTCCAGAGGCTGGCTTGGCCGGGCTGAGGCTGGCGTTGCTGCCGGTGGCGGCGAGGGCGGGTGGACCCAGCCCGGCAGCCGCCGCCGCCTCCTGTTCGCCGGCTGCTGCCAGAAAGGAGCCGCAGGCGTAGTCGGGCCCACGGGAACGGCCGGCGGGCGAGGAGCTCTCGGTCCGTGGGGCCGGAGAAGCGGACGCGGAGGCAGGGGGGCCGCTGACGGTAGAAGCGAAGGCTCGGGGGTCAAGCGAAGCGGAGGTGGTGGCAGCGGCGGGCTCCGGCTTGCCGATCCCGTAGAGGTGTCCAGCGACGGAGTCTCGGTCGGAGACGGCGGCGTGGCTGCCGCGAAAGGCAGCGTAGGGGTCGAGCCAGGAACGGACGTACCTGGCCCCCTCGCCCGGCCCTCCAAGGGGTGGCGGGGCCACGTACGGAGGGTAGATGCCCGGCAGCGGGGTGGAGGGCTGAGCCGGAGGAGAGCGGGCGGGCACGGCGGGCCAGGAGGAGAAGACGGGCGGCTTGGGCGTAAAGCTGCACGGGGCAAACTCCGACCCTTCGGTTACCGCACCTGAGGGGGGCAGGCGCGGGGCGGCGAGGGGGTGACCCCCTGGTAGGAACCGGCCGGGGCCGCCGCCCGCGGGGCCACCGCCCGCTCTTCCGCCGTACGCTTCCTCGGTGTCAGGGCCTAGGAGCGAGTCCACGTAGTAGTTACCGAGGGTGCCGCCCGACGACATGTTGGGGAGATTCCCTCCGTGGCACGGCATGGGGCGGAGGGGGGGAGGGAGAGAAGTTGAGGGAAAAAAATAAAAAAGGTTAACACTGTAAACTGGAGATTTTTTCGCCCGGTCCGGGAAGCAACCCTGGGATTTTTGCAACCTTCTCCGCCTCAAACTATTGGTCCCTCCGCCCACGTGATCATATTTACCAATACTCGAAGTAAATCAATCCGCTCCATTGGCGTTCGGAAAACGTTTGCTGGTGTGATTAAAAAAAAATTATATATATCTATATATATATCTCCTTCCCCCGCCCCAACTCATCTGCAACACATGAAGAGCACCCCCCCTCAAACTGCACTTGAGAAAACGAAGGCCAGCCGCGGCCCTGACATTGTGCGCCGGGGAGGGGGAATGGGGGGGGGAGAGAAGGGGAAAGAGAACGAGAGAAGAGGAGCCGAATCCTTCCACGGCCCTCCTGCCTCAGCCAGACGCCCGGAGGGCGTGGCCCTCCCGCAGAGGAGCCAAGCGCAAGTTGGCGGACTATTTCTTCGCCTTCTCGGTCCGGATTTCGCCATTCGTTCCCGCGCATACCCAACGAGTGGAAAGCGCTGACCGAGCTGAGCTCGTCCCTCTCGCTGGCAGAAGCCCCTGAAAGACAGCGAGGAGGAGGAGGAGGGAAGGCTGGGCAGAGGTTGGGGAGGGGGTGTCGAGAGAAGGGGAGACGCCGGGGAGCGCAGGAGAGGCTCCCAGCGCGATCCCGGCCCTCCCAGAAAGCAAACGCCGAGAGCGAGCAGCTCGTGCAACTGCGCAGTGCGGGGCTCGTTTGCCGGAGCGAGACTCGGGATCGCTTCCCAAACCGAGCAACAGACAAGAAGCGCCGCTGCGCAGAAGAGCCCGAGTGAAAAGGAGCCTTGAACGAGTGGAAAAGACGGGGGGGGGGCTAGAGAGAGAGAGAGAGGGGGGAGAAGGCAGGGTTGCCCCTTGTCTTGTTTGAAAACAGGTGGAAGTCGAGCCCTTCTCTCTCCGCGATGATTTTATGCTTTTCAATAAATTTTTTATGAGATGCATTTGATTACAGATTAATGCGTTCCGTCGTCTAGTAAAACGGACTGGTGGCACGGAGCCTCGCTCTCTCTCTCCGTCTCTCCCTCACTCCTTTCTTCCTCTCTCTCTCTCTCTCTCGTTCTCTCTCTCCCTCTCTCCCTGTCTCCACTTTCCGCTTTCAGGGCTAACATCAAGCTGAATGCCAGCCCTTCCCAGAGGTCTGAACTGCAAGGACTTCAAAGAAGCGGCAGTATAACTTCCAGGAGTTGGGGAAGAGAATAAAAACGAATGAGTGCACCTAGTGAATGGAGCGGCCTCGGCCTTGCTACGCCCCAGCCCGCTGGAAGACGGCAGTCGAAAAGAGGGGTGGGGTGGGATGGGATGGCGGCGCCCCGCCAACTTCCAGGAAGAAATGCTTTTTTTTACTAGTTGGGAGCCCCCGGCCATCTCTAGTCGCTCCCCCCCCCACCATCCAATTAAATCGAGGACTTTCACCCGTATTTTACTGCCTTTATTACGGACTGGTGGAGGCCAAGTTTCCGGCTGTAGGTTTTAGCACTAGACTAGAGGAACAATGGTCTCGCCCGTCTTTCAGTAATTCAACTCCTTTTTCATCTCTCTCGCTCTTTTTTTTTGCAAGCGCGCCCGCGCGCGGCTTTTTTCTTTTTCAGAAAGGCTAGACCTGGGTTTGCTTGAATGAGGGACGAGATCCGTGCTAATCCAGTGTCTTGCGTCAATTAAACAAGCCGGACGCTGCTGTCCCGCACGTTTGCCTCCCGAAAGGCGGAGAAAGGCGAGGTGGAGCATTTTCCTTGTACGGTACATAGGCCTCTCCTTTCGGAGATTTGCTAGAAGCCGGCGTGTTTACAGCCCTATTCCTTTTAATTTCAAACGTCAAAGCCCTCTATTATGGTGAAGGCACACGTTTATAGGTGGATGCCCTTGCCTGCGTGCCTATGTGTCTATGCACAAGCACGCACAACCAGCCAGTCACGCGTAAGGCTGAGAAACGTACCTATCCTAATTGGTGTAACAATGTGGAAACCATTGGCCTCGGCTGGCGCAGAATTTATGTACAGAATAAAACGGGCTTGGAGACGCTGCCGAAGGAGGCAACGTCTGGGTGTTTCTTGAAAACACCTTTTCCCTCTTCACCCCTCAAAGTATAATTACAAATCCAAATTATGTTATGGGCAGCAAGGTGTCCGGATACCAAACTGACAGACATTTCAGCCAGTAATGTATAAGGGGAAGAAAACATGCTCGAGCCACCAGATCGAAAGGTATGAGTTTAGAAACGTGTGAGGTACATCAGCATATAAACAAAGAAAAACTCATGGGTAACTCGTGGGCAAAGTCTTCGCAATACATCCCTGGAAGTTAGTAATGCTCAGACCATTTCCTAAGGAAATTTCCCTTCGCCAGATCGAGAATTCTTCTCAAAAAACCACCTTCGCGGACTAAAAGCAGCGGAGGAAGCCAGAACAGAGAACCAAACGGATGCTTTGAGCTTCCTTTTTCCGATGCACTCGGGTATCCTTAGGAAAGCAATACAGCATTTTCGTAAGGACAGAGACAAGGTCCCGGCTTAGAACGCAAGGTGGGTCAATGGGGCGCCTGCTTTTTGAAGCTGAACACGGATCCAAGCATTTGGACTTCTGTGGAGTCCTTGGTTTTCTCTCAGCTTGCTTGTTTTCTTGCAGACAGACATTACTTTGCAATGAAACGCCTGCAAGAAAACAACCATGCTCAGACAGTAGCAAGGACCCCAGAGTTCACCCCTGAGCTACAAATATTCTCTTCCATTGGTACCATTTGGACTTCATTTAAGAGTCACGTTCGTTTGCAAACTCCCACTGAACGCCCCCAGCTTTCTCTCTCGACCTCCTTTTCCTCCTTCCTTCCTTCCTTCCTTCCTTCCTTCCTTCCTTCCTTCCTTCCTTCCTTCCTTCCTTCCTCCCTCCCTCCCTCCCTCCCTCCAGCCTCCTTTCACAAAAGATAAAGTGACTGCTGGTAATATTTATTTTGCAGGAATGTGGGATGCAAAAAGTCCCAAGCTCCATTATCTTGACATTTGGTGCAAGAGGGATCAAAACGGCTAGGATTGCAGGGAAACTGAAACAGATTTGCACCGATCCATGCCCACATGAATCCCGCGCACCCATTGCAACTTTTTGAAAGTGGAGAGGAAAGGGCTACAATGTTCAGATAGACAGACAAAATTATTCCTCTGATTTACAGAAGGCGACTGAATAACACTCATTGCAGGTTCCTCTGCAGAGTTAAACACACACACATACACACACATTTAAAGAAAATAAAGCACAATGTGTGGGAAGTTTCACTTACGTTTCCCTTGCCTGCTAGATTGCCCATGGCCAATATGTACAAAACATCCTGTTTATCCTGCTCCAGAGATTGCCTTACTTTGGTTTGAGGTTTCTGCTTTGCTTGTTTTTAAAGCCACTGACCATGTAATCGTGGAAAGGAGGCTTGTGTCGGCCTTAAGTCAAAGATTTTGTCAACCCTGAAAGCTTCCTGGCTACATTGCAACCAGCGCTTAGCCATTGCATTTGCTCTTACACTTAACGGTCCATAAAAAAGAAGGAGAAAGAGGAGGAGGAAAAACAAAATGGGAACTAGTCAACGGCAAGCAGCTTCCCTTTCCTGCATGTCTGTCTTTTTCCAGGCCCGCAGGAAGGGATTCAGCCAACTCTTGGCTGCTCAGATTTTCTGAAAAGATGAATGGAACTCAGTAACTTTACATAATTTATTGCATTATACATGCAAACAAGACATGCACAAAAAGGAGACATATTGCTTGTAAAGACCACGATTCCACATATGCACCACAAGGAGAGAGAGAAGGATATATCCATAGCTGTGGATGAAAGAGACTTTGACATGAAGCACAAATCTAACACATGGGAGGATGGAGATGGAGATTTTACATCGTCAAATGTGCTCGTTTGTCCTTTCTTTTGCTTCCCAAACCCGGGAAGCACATTTATTAATTTATTTTATTCAATTATTGTTAAACTGTTGTCTATATTCCAAATGTTATGGCCCATGTAGTAACCCCCACATAAATACCCCTTGTTTAGTTAAAAGCATAAAAAAATACATTGTCCGAACAGTCAACAGCTCTAATAAGTTAAGACCAAGTTATAAGGATCAATCAGAATTTACCCTGCATTACGATGAAGGAAAACAAACTGTACTTGTAAAACCAAGAGAGGGAGAGAGAGAGATAGAGATCATAGGAACATACATGGACATTTGCATCACTAAAAATAATAACAAAAGGTCACATTCTATCAGAAATTTTAAAAATGGAACACGAAGGCATGTACCCGTCGCAGCTACCCACCCACCCACCCACTCACCACCTGGGCTGGTCTTTCTTAATCATGGCGCAACCAATGGTAACAGCATTATGGCCAGCCCAGGTTGTGCGGTTTAAGAGAAAGTCAGATTAGCAGTCAGTTCTCGGATTCGGTTCTCCCTACTCATCTTCTTGAGTTTCATTCTGCGGTTTTGGAACCAGATCTTGACCTGCCTGTCAGTGAGGTTTACGCTCTTACTGATCTCTAGGCGGCGCTCTCGGGTGAGATACATATTGAACAAGAATTCTTTCTCTAATTCCAGTGTTTGGTGTTTAGTATAAGGGCATCTCTTCTTTCTGCCACTCTTTGCCGTTAACCAATTGCTGGTTGGAGTATCAGACTTGGCTTCCTCTAATGAAATCGAAGGGAGAAGGGAAGGGGAGGGGGAGGAAGACAAGACAAAACAAAACAGAAAAGAAAGGACCTCAGTCTTTTATACCATAGCCTTGGCCATGAACCCATTTCCATTGTGTGACCGAAAGGATGCTTTGCCTTGTGGATATGAAACGTTGCCAGAGTAGGTGCCTGCATGAATTCAGGAAAAAGTGTGATTTTTTTTTTTTTAAAAAAAGCCCCCTTCTTTCCACATCAGCTTTCTTAAAATGCCAGCAACACACAATTTACCATGATAGGGACTGTTCAGTTATATTCTTTGTGGCATATAGAATATATACTAGAATATAGAATACCTTATTTGGGCCAAGTGTGATTAGGCACCCAAGGAATTTGTCTCTGGTGCTGAAACTCTCAGTGTACATGTGAAGCAACAAAGTAATCATCATCATCATCATCATACCAATAAGGGAGGGTAATAAAGACAATAAGAAGGTAATAATACTACAGCCATACAACATGGGTAGATATATACTTGAACATAGACAGTATTGTGAGAAAAAGGTGTTCAGCACTCTGTTTGGGAACAGACACATTTTGGTTCAACTACTACCATTTCATGGGGACTGTTTCAATCTTGCCGCCTTGTCAACAATACTACCTTAATGGGTGTGACTTTTACAATCAGCCCACAGTCTTGCAAAACACTGATTCTAACCAAAAGATTGGAGGGTAAGCCTCAGTTAAAAACCTTCTGATCTCACTCCTGCCATGCAACATTAAAGCAGGGATATTTCAAACTCTCAGCTCACCCCAAACTTGAACAATGAATACCAAATTGAGCAAAGGTATTTTTTTTCCCCTTTAAGTGTTCTCTCCACTCCATCCTCACATTAGATGCAGAATTTAATCTTTGATTTGTGTGCAATGCCCGTTGTTTTTTTTTATTTTAAACGTACACAATAAGGTCAAATTCTCACTAGGGGCTGCAAATTATTTGTGAATGGGGAGGGGGCTTTTTTCTCCCTCCACCCCTCTGGAGATGAAATCTCCTGTGGCTCACCACCTATTCCTTTTCAAGAATAATGAACTTAGCACATGTATGTTAAGTATTTAGTAACATTCTCCTTCAAACTATAATCAGCCGTTGGAGACTTAAACTGGATCCAAATGCGGAACTTCCTGTCTAGTTAAAAAAAAAAAAAAAACCCCACACACGCAAGATTGTTTCTAACTGCCTCCCTCTTTCAAACTTTATCTGGTTCTGCGCCATCTCCTCCGAACGAAGAACACTCTTATTTTTGAAGTGTCTGTACCCCAGTGAGATTAATGAAAATCCACAGAGGAAAAGCTGGATGTTAGTGGGACTGGGGTGGGTGCTGAACAGACCGTAATTTCACAATTCTTGGAATGTTCTCTTTGAACGCCCAGACCAAGGAGGTGAGGGGGGGGGGGAAGCAAGTTCCAGAGCCGGGAAGAAAAGTAGGGCACAGGCTGCAGCCAACCCCGAGCTGCCCCCAGTTTCCCTGAGCGTCTAAGACCTGGAGGACCCAACCGAGGGGAAGAGGGCGACCGGGCGAAGTGAGGACAGGACGGGACGGCGGAAGGGAGGGAAGGAGGGAGGGAGGGAAGGAGGGAGGGACGGACGGCGGGAGGGAAAGAGCGTCCTTTCTGCTGAGCAACGATGGCTGCGCTCTTTAAGCAGCGGTTTCCTCGCCTTATTTACGGACGTTCCCAACTCGGCAAGCATACCGACCTTTGCTTTCTTTCTCTTGGCTTTCTGGGCTGGAGACGGCGGCTTCGGCCAGGCAGCTCCGCTCGTCCTGCAGCGCGGACTTGGACTCGGGACTTGACACTCGGGAGGCTTTGGCGGAGTTCTCCGGCTGGTGCTGGTGCTGATGGCCGCCGCCGCCACCGCCGCCGCCGCCGCTGCTGTTGCCCGGGGTGGCGGCGCCGGCGTTGGCGCTGGGAGTTTCACTCGTGTTCTTCTCCATCGGGACTTGCGAGGCGACCTGCGCTTTGGAAGCGCCGCGTGGGTTTAACTGCAGCATGAGGGTGGAAGTGGCTTCGGGGCTGTTATGGTACTCTGGGGCTTTTCCCCCGGCGTAGGTCTGGCTCAGCCTGAAATACCCCGGGACGGGGACCTCGGGGTTTTCAACGGGACACGAGTCAGAGACTAACCTCTGGTAGGAAGAAGGAACGTCGGAAGGGGAGCCCAGCTTGGACCGCTTGTCCGAGTACATGCAGCAATTGGTTTCTTCCTTAATATTGGTCGCAAAGGAACAAGCGGGCACCTGCTGAGTAACAGGTTGCTCTATGCGGCACGGCCTGCTGGGATCGGCCCAAGTGTCTACCGGAGGGATGTAGGGATGCACGTTCATGCCCATGTTTGGATGACTGACTTCTCTTTTGGCCAGAGACGGTAGAAGTCCACAGGTCTGCATCCCGTACGTGCCGAGGTCTGTGCTGGGCGGCATGTACATGCTGGCGCCGTTGGAGTAAAAGCTATCGCTCCTGCAGGCACCGATCAAGGAGTCGACTAGGAACGTGTTGGCGGCGGGAGAGCTGTTGGGAAAGGACATTTTAGGGAGGAATTGGAAGGAGAGAGAGGGTGTCCTTTGTAGGCTGACATCTCTACGAAAACATTCCCGGTGTAATTGTGGATGCCTCCGCACGACCACATGACAGGCGAGCCAATGAGATTTGAAAACGGCCCGTGAGCCGCGGCCTCCCCGCCGATCACGTGCTCCCCGAGACACGCCGAGCCGCGGCGCAAAGGTGGACAACAGCGACACCTAGGACGGCCGCGAGGAAACGCAGGCGCTCAGCCTGCCCGCCGCGGGCCCCTGCCACCTTTCTCCTCCTCCTCCTCCTCCTCCTCCTCCTCCTCCTCCTCCTCCTCCTCCTCCTCCTCCTCCTCCTCTCTCTCTCTCTCTCTCTCTCTCTGTACCCCTTTTTTAAGGACGTTGTGGATTTGTAAAAAGTCAAACCCGGGTGCACTGTGCTGCTTTAAAACAAGGAAATGTAATAAACTGTTCTGAAGTAGGAACTGAGCCTGAATTTGAAACAGTTTCTGTTGTGCCCGTTTCCAAAAATGTAGAAACACCTACTTCGGTTATAAGCCGGGATAAGCTACACAGAGGGTAAAAAGGAGGGTAGGGAGAAACATGGAGGACACCCAAACAGGCAAAGAAATGATGCAAAATGCAGAGCGTGGTTCAGTTTCTGTCCCCCCCCAATGCATTGTGGTCCACTTCCATGAACTGACCTCAACTGTGCCCTCAGAAGAACTGTCCTTACCCTTAGACCATGCCCACTTTTGTCTTTCTCCTCAGAATTAAACTCATTTTGGGGGGGGGGAACCCAGCCAGTAACGTCTTCCTAACAAAAGAAAGGCATGGAGGGTAAATTGGGAAAAGAGAATATCTGCGGGGTGTTTGTCCCCCAGAAGTGCCATTGTTTGGAAAGAATGCAGAAGTGGGAAACATTGTTCTTTTATGGATTTTCTAAAAGCCTTGCCTTCTGACAAGATCCAAAAGGTAACAGAATTGATTAATACAGATTAAGAGGAATCAGGGCGGATCAATACACTCCTCATCTACATGCTCCAGCCAGTTGGTAATTTTCTTGCTTCTGAAGCTTTTTCAAGAGTTATTCCCTCTGTAGCCACACACAAGGAAGAGATTTTATTAACAAATCAATCTAGACTTTGTAAAGGGTAAGATTAATCGTTGGGATTTAGCATAATAGTGTTCACGTTATGAATTATTGAAAATTATACCATTGATTTTTTTTCCTTTTTTCTCCTAACCAAGAAGGTCAACTTTTGTTTTAATATAAATTGTCAGATATAAAAGCTGGCCCATTACGATAAGGGCTTACTTTGTTTTGGGGGGTTTTTTTGTCTTAGTTTTATTAGGTTAAAGAAAATGGGGGGATATTGCTTTTGTTTTAATATACATGTGAACAATATCGCCTTGGTCAGTACAACAGAAAAAAAGGTATTATGTTAAAAGGTATTTTACAATAATTTTATATAATACTGATAAACACCAATGCATGAACTCGCCTAAAATAAAACTAGACAAAAGCTATCATTTTCTTGGCCTAACTTTATACATTTTCAAAAATGGCAAGGATGTATAAACTGACCAACATAAAAATAGAACATTCCCTCTGTTTGAAAATTTAGAGGTTTTTGTCTTTAAATATACTTTTTCAATATAGCTTAGGATAAAGTTCTCTCTCTCTCTCTCTCTCTCTCTCTCTGTCTCTCTGTCTCTCCCTCCCTCCCTCCCTCCCTCTCTCTCTCCTATGAAATAAGGTTAAAGAATGCATGATTGTGAAATGTCTGGATTTTCATTAAAATTTCGAATATGCTTTTCTCCACTCTCAAGGCCCTCTCCCTTCCTTTCCAAAATGTATCTGATATGCACAGTCCAGCATAGCACACTCAGTCTCCATTTCTGAAGAATAAATATTGGACATATTTTGCGGCCATCGGCTCTTCTTTGTTAATTGAATTGGTCCCCACTCTTTCTCCTCCTTTCTTTTCAAGCAAATCCCCAGTCCTAACAAAGCTCAAATCTTTCAAAGGTCGGTTCCTACATCCTTGACCATCTATTGTTGCCAAAGTGCTCCTTCACCAGCCTCCTGTCTTCAAAATCATTTTCTATCCTTGGGATTCTCTCTCTCCCTCTCTCTCTCCCTCTCTCTCTCTCTCTCTCTCTTTTAAAAATACTCCCTTGGCCCTTTTCTGCAAACCTCCCCCGGTTTTGTTTTTTGTTTTTTAAATCTCCCTGTGACAATGAGACAGACCTTTGAGAAGCTGATCCGCAGCTGTTCAAATACAACATCAATGCCAGGTTAAGAGCGGCGGGCGCCTTTTACAGCTTTTGTCTGCAAGGACCCATCGCGATCCGAGAGTCGAGGTCTTCCTTTACCTTCCTAACTTATATTCCCACCCAACACCAGATTTTTGCCAAAACTCTTCCCCCTGTTGGGCGACTCTTGGCCGTGTCCTGCGTGGGGTGTGGGGAGGAGAATTCAGACAGAAGGTCCCTCACCGGCGTCTAGGGTGGCGGCCAGCAGAGACAGATCCCGCTTGCTCACCTTCAATTTGAGATCATTATCAGAGCCATTGCTAAGCGTTTGGCCGGGCTGGGAAGCAGACAAAAGTGGAGGTCACGATGCTCCCTCCCCCCCCCCCTCTCTCTCTCTCTTTGGGGGCTGGGGGTTTTATGGGCTTCCCAGCCATTTCCCTCCCCCCCCTCCCCTCTGAAAACAAGAAGCCAGACGGCCCGCCGAGTTTAAAGCAACCCAATACCTCGTTTACCCCCTTTGCCTTGCCTGCGCTTTTTAAGATTGTGCCGTGAAATCTAATCAGGGATTTTATTCCCACCAAACGGGCTCTTCGTACTCAGCAGTCGTCTGAGGGAAGAAGGCCCCTAGCAGGAGAGCAGTGTCCGTGGTTGACTTTTTCTTTTTTGTTTTATTTTACCTATTCTATTTTATGGGCGTTGGTAGTAGCCCAGTGGTAACGTTAAAACAATAAGTAAGCCAGGAGTCGCTCGCCTCTGTATCCTGAGAGACTTCAAGGAGTTGACTTGCTTTCGATTTTGCATTTTTTTTTCCTGGATTTGGGGGTGCCAGATATATGACCGCCACAAAGTCTAACCTCCAATTATTTGGGTCCAGATAAAGATGAATCGGGGTGGTGCCCGCCTGCTCCTAAGGCAGCCTGGCCACGGCCAAGGGCTCCTTTAAAAAAAAACCTGTTTTCAGCTGAGCAGGCGAAGTGATTTTAAACGAAGAAACGGGTATATAAATCCAAAGGTAACATTGGTGTAGCACTTCCCGAGAGTGAATAAACAACCTTCTAAGAAGGCTGATTCCTCAGACTTTCTGTGCTTAATGTCACTCAGGTTTTAAATCACATTAAGCTGGAATTGTAGTAATTAACAGGAATAAATAAATCAATATTGTGCCATAAATGAGATATACAATCTGCATTACCGCAAAGGGTTTCCTCTTGACTGTTCCATATTTTTTGTCCTCCAAAAGAGTGAAAGTCTTAGACGCTCCATTTATACGTCCTTGATTATTTGCAGTAAAATATATGTTGACACTACTCTTTTCTGCCTGAATAAATAATAGAATGTAAAGACTGGGAGGAATGCCGTCGCTTAACATTTTAATTTTAATCCTTCAGATTTATGCCATGTGTTATACCTGGGCGGGGTTTCCCCAATCTCACTCCCATCCATCCGGAATTCTTGCTGGTGTTTTTTTCCTTTCCCTCCTCTCTTTTATTTGCCTTGGTTATTAAAGAGCAGAAGGGAAGAATCCCATCAATCGGTGAAAGAGCAAACTGTGAAAACGCAAAGCGGAACTTTTGATCATTAAATATCATGAAAAGACTGGAATTTATCAGAAACAGACAGAAGCATAATACAGATGATCTTCTTCTTTTCATTTCATTTTTTTCCCTGTAGGAAGAATTTATAAACAGATCCATTTGCTTACATTTCTCCCTGGGTGCATTAGGAGGGCTTCCTTTTAATTAAGACCCCCGTTAACTTACTGCCGAACAGCACCAAAGTGCCCACTCTTAATAATATGAGAATTAAATTATTCCATCTTCCTCACCTATTCCACTACAGGCAACAATCACAATATTTCTAGGCAGTGAGGGGAAGAGATATTATTACAGTATTGTGCAAAGCCAAAATTCGCAGGTAAAGCCCGATCATGTTTGGACAGCTCCCCTTAATTCTTCCTGATTTTTGTTACACAAATAATTTTTTCAGATGGGAGGTGCATAAGATCCCCTTAGAGAAATTCATATTTTGCCTTTGTTTCACAGCGGACTGGGAAGCTTGGAGTTCCATATCAAATGCTATAAGCTTTTTCCTGGCCGGAGGAGGGGGAAGGGGTCTGGAAAGACGGATTGGCTTATAGCTGTTTATATATAGTCTTTCTGTTCATCAGAAGCCCTGGAAAAAAAAACAGGACATACAGCTATAAAGCTAGTCCAGTAACTGGATAAGTCTTATGCTTAAAATCTCAAGCCGGTGTAGCTTTGGGGGAGGGGGGAAATAGTCATCATAATTTAAAAACTGATAAAGATAGACAGACAGACCACAAAATAAAATACAAGATTTTTCACTGGCTGAGTGTAGCCATCATGAGGAGAAATAACGAAATAATAATCTAGCAAATCTAGCCATAACCAGGATGGCTCATATTTTGAAGTTCCTCAAAGGACAAAGCGAATATTACAAATATTTAACCAATTTCATAGGCAGAGGACAGACAGAGGAGATACTTATAAACGCAAAAATCCTTCAGTTAATATTACATTTTAAAAATAGAACAGAAACAGTGGAAGAAAGGATTCAGGGGAGAAATCTGTTGTCATCTTCACGTGAAGGTTTACAGCCTGTGCTTTAATTGAATAAGGAAAGGCAACCACAGGTTTTGGCATTGTCCATTCTCAGAATATTCTCTGTTTTCTTTATTTTTTTTATTCAAACAGGCCAGTGTCAAGATTTTCAGTTTTTCACGAGTGTCTTTTGAAATTTATTTTCTAATTTTAAAAATTCATTGTTTTAGGTAACCAGAATAGTCACGGGTTTCCTTTTAATTTTTTTTAAATATTAAAAATCTATCTGGTAAACAAAGAATCCTGCATCTATTTCTCAAATATGACTATCTAGTTTCTTATTTTTTTTCTTTTTTGCCTCTCCCTCAGTTGTTAGGACTGTTAGGGAGAAAGTGGGGGAAATGACATCCTTGTCCTTTGCTGTATAATTTTTCAAAAGTGCATCTTTGGAGAAATTTAGCACTGAACAAATCACTGGCCAATTTCAGAGACAGATTCCTCTGTCTCTTGAGGAAAAAAAACAAATTACATCTTAGATATCTTTTGAAAAATTGTTGTGATTCTTCAACCTGCTGTGAATGAAATTTAGATCTCCAATAATTAATTTAAGAAATGTTTAACTTTTTTCTGGTAAATAATTCTTTTTTTTTTTTTAACCAGCAAGGAAGCACTCACAGATGTCAGCCAACCATTTTTCCATTAATTAAGACTACATATTTTCCAAATTGTTCAATTTATCATCTCATTAAAAAAAACACTTTAGGACTCATATTACCCATCACAAACTCTCTCTCTCTCTCTCTCTCTCTCTCTCTCTCTCTCTCTCCCTCTCTCTCTCTCTCTCTCTACACACACACACACACACACACACACACACACACACACACACACACACACACACGGAGATATAGTTCTGTGTTTGTATTTGATGTGTTAATGACACAAAATACATTTTAATCAGTTTGTTTGTATTATATTTGTGAGTTATCTCTGTAATAATTTTTGATTCTGCTGTGTTTTCTCACTTCTAGTTGCTTATGCATTTTATTAGTGGCATTATTATTGTGGGGAAATACCAGAATATCAGGACAAATATATATATTCTGGAATATAAGTGCGCCCTCGCGTGGAATATATGTGTATAGCATATGGAGCATTCTGTTTTTAATCCCTGTTTTCTTGTTTTTTTCATTTGACAATTTTGTTCTCATTCTTTTGTTAAATAAGAATATAAGGATAAGTATATATATCTGTACAGTATATTTAGAATTATTCTTTTAAATTCTTACAGTATTTATTGATTAAGGAATGCAAATACAACTCCTCTTTGTAAAAATGGATAGACACTGATATATATTTTTCATCATGTAAAGGTAATTTCCCCTCAAGTATCTTAAGGCAACAGTTCAGATTACTTACATTTCCTGTGAAACATAGACCAGTATCTGCATTTCAAAGTATCATTTTTTTTAAAGTAATCAATGTTTCACAGGAATCCAAAATTCCTTCTCATTTATTTTAAGGGGATCGAATCAATTTGCTTGTTGCTTTCTTTTAAACATTTTTTTCATAAGGCATGATTTACCTAGACTGAGAGCAATAATGCTTTTGCAGTTAATAATTTACATAGAAAAACCTCTTATAACAACATTTTAAAAAGAAAATTGTTATTTAAAGGGCAATTGAAAAGGCTTTTAATAATACACGCACTGGTGAAATATTCTGCACGTTTCATTCTAGATAAATACAGAGAAGGGCTGTATTGAGGGATACAGTGGATTGATGAGTCCACTGATTTGAATTGGTAGGCAGTCCTTTTCTGTTATGCACCTAGGAGTGAATAATGTATTTGCCAGCTTGAGACAGGAAAAAAGGAAAGGGGAAAACAGGAAGTGAGGAATGGGTGGGAAGCCCAGAAGGGGTGGGTGGTAGTTGAATATAAGAGGCAAAGCTTTGAGGCTTCTAATTATTCAGAAAGGTTAAAGGTGATGACCTTGACATCTTGGAAGTTCAAAGGCATATACTTAATTTTTTTGGTTTAAATTAAAACATTAAAATTATTCTCCCAGTCTTCTTCCTTTCTCTTAGTTTAAGGCATACTTTGTGCACTTCCTGGTATTTTATTCCTCCAATCTGGCCTTTAATGAACACAAAGAAAATGCAAACTGTTTCTTTGCCTTTTCTTTTTCCCTTTTCCCTTTCCTTTTTTCTTTCTTTTTAAAAAAAGTCAAACTGGTTTCTCACTTGCTGCTTTTATTGCACTTGTGGAAATCTCTTTCTTTTTCCCACCCAGCACAAGGTGTACAATATAGCCTAATTAAGTTGTTACAAACCCCCGGGTTTTTATGGTGTTGTCTAGACAGTTCAAGGTTTTGTAAACAGCTTAAACAGGCCACCACAACAAAATGGAGAGAAGAACCTCTATCAAATTCCTTTGGGGGGGGGGAAATAAGTGTTAGCAATTTAGTAGCAAAGCAGAGATTTTTTTCTCAATTCTTTTATTAGTTTGTCTCCGTGTGTGCGCGTCAATAATATGGAAGAAATGCCTTTTAAAAACCGCTCTCTTTAATGTAGTTCCTCTCCCCTGCCCATGAATAAGTTCAAGTTTTGGAGCTGGAAGTTTCTAAGAGCAAAATGCATTTGAGAGCACAGCTGAGTTTCTCCAAAGGTTGTTGCGCGACATAGCGAAATTTCATCTTATGGCTTTAGAGCTGAAGTCTAATCGGGGTATTTTTATGAGCCCATTTAGGGTCGTAGGATAAAATACTTGCAACGTTCAGTGAGAATAGTGGATTTTGCACATGTTTGGCTATTCGTCCCTCAGTTCTGAAAACATTCCCCTTTCTGGATTTGCCCCATTAAAAAAATATAAGATAATGGGGCCTTCTGAAGGCATCGCTACCACAGGCACTACGGTTCAAGTTTCATGTGGGCTCAGAAAGGACACAGTGGTGCTTCTTCAGAAATGGACAATTTAAAGCAGATAATCCAAGTGGAAGGTACCTCTTCAGCTTTACTAGCAAGCCACTAAGACACAAAAACAAGACAGCATTCCAACGCCTTGATATGACAACAGACTTCCCAACCCTCTCTAAACCAGCATGAAGTTATGGATCCAATGCACATGATCCCCTTTACAATTATATGTGGTGCAAGGGGAGAAATGTATTCCTATCTGGAAGCCCAGAAGAGGAGGAAAACAAGTAACCAAGGATGCTTAAAGCCTCTGGTTTTAAAACTGTCAGATTCACACAAGGTCCCTGGTTACAGCCATGAAAAGCCAGTGAGAAAATAAAATAAATGAATGTTGTGGGTGATTTAAAAAAAAGAATAAAGACAACGCTACAGCATTAAGATGGAGTGCTGGATTCACCCCAGTGGCTTTTAGGCGGGTTCTGCTCTATCAATCCCAAGAGAGCACCAAGAGACACAGAAATAGTACTATAGACCAAAATAAGAATTTTTTTAAAAAAGCTTCTTATGTCCTCAGGGTGGAGGGCATGTTAACCTCTGGGGGTTTTGCGCTCAGATGTCTGGTTGGATAATAAAGGGAGATCTGTCCTTCCTCCCCCACTCTCCTCTCCCGCTTCTCCTCTCAAAATAAGGGGTTTCCTGTGAAATATTGCATGCGGTCTCGGTTGAGTTTCTTTTCTTTCATCCTTCGATTTTGGAACCAAATTTTGACCTGGCGATCTGTGAGATTCAACATTCTGGACAACTGGAGTCTTTTCTCTTTGTTGATGTACACGCTGAAGAAAAACTCCCGTTCCAGGACTCTAATCTGGTACTTGGAATAAGGACACCTCTTTTTCCGGGATCTCTGGGGAAGCGCTGGAATGGTCAGAAAAAGAAGGAAAGGAGGAGGAATGGCAGTGAGGGCAACGGCCCCATTCCCAAAACTTCAGGACCGGCTATTATTCCCTGGAAAACCGACTCCTTTCTCTGCCCCCGCAACTGCCGCCCTCCCTCCGGATAACTTCGGAGTAGTGGCTTGGAAAGGAAAGGAGGAAGAAAGGTTTCCTTAAGTTCCCTGAAGTTGCTTTCTAAGGCTTAAGTCCCACTGAACTCAATGGGGAGTGGTCCCAGGGGAGGAGCTTTCGGCTCGGGCTTTTCTGAACGGAAAGCGATTTGGATGGGGCGAAACGAAGGCCGTTTCCTAACTCTTTCCTCTCTTCAGAAGCAGCCTTTCGCCCCGTCGGATAGCCCCCCCCCTCCCCTTTTAACAGCAAGGCCGAGTTCCTTTGTCGGGTTGGGGGCTTTTTAAGGGGCCAGAAATGTCTTCGCAGAGCTCCTTCCTTCCCAATCTCTTTCCAGTTCTCCTCCAAAAAAAAAAGAAGAAGAAGAAGCGAAGCCCAAAGGGGGTTTATAGCTGGAGAAGTTATACAGGGTGCATTTTTTTTTTTTAAAGTGCTTATAAAATGGCACTTGAAAAAGCTGAGACTTGACGAACTGATGGGTTGTCGTCTGCCTCTCTCTCTCTCTCTCTCTCTCTCTCTCTCTCTCTCTTTCCTTCTCTCTGTCTCTCTGTCTCTCTCTCCCCCTCTCCCTCTCTCCCTCTCTCTCTCTGTCTCTCTGTATTTCTCTCTTCGTCTCTCCCTCTCTCTCCCCCCCTCTCTTTTTCCTTCTCTCTGTTTCTCTCTGTCTCTCTCTCTCCGTCTCTCCCTCTCTCTCTCTCCCCCTCTCTCCGTCTCTCTCCCCCTCCCCCTCTCTCCCCCTCCCTCTCTGTCTCTCTCTGTCTCTCCTTCCACCTTTCTCGATCTGCGATTCCCCCTATTGAGCCAGGAGAAGCTGAGGGCCGAGCCACCCTCCACCTTACCTGAGCGGTGGCTTTTCAGAGTGCGGGCCTCCCCCGAGGAGGAATCCGCGTCGCCTTCGTTCCCCGCTTTCTTCTTCGGCCCGGGAAGGTGGGTGCTTGGGCCGCCGGCGGTCCTCGGCGGTGACGGAGGCTTGAGGTCCCCGTTGCTCTCCCGCTCCGCCTCGGTCGGGCAAGGGGCGCCGCCGCGGGCCGCCTCGTAAAACTGATCGAAGCCCCGCGGGAGAACGCCATTCCTGCCTACGGCGCTACAGAAAGGCGCGGGGTGGGTGCCGCAAAGCTGATCGCTTTTGAGGAGGGCGTCGCTCCTGCCGGCCGGCGGTTGCAGGAAGTCCCGGCTGTGCAAGACCTCCTCGTAGTAACCCGGGCTGTAGGCGCTCCGGTAAGCCCATTTGCCGCTCCCACCTCCTCCAACGTAATCGCGGAAGGCGGCGGGCGCTTCGCCCACCGCTTGCACCTGGCCGGGCAAGGCGGAGGCGTAAGGCAAAGCCATCTGACAGGAAGGAGGCGGCTGGGACAAGAACGGGGGCTTGCCGGAGAACTCCGCGGGGGAGAGGTAGTAGGCCGCGGGGAGGTAGACGTCGGGGGCCCCGTGGCTGGCGCAGTCGTCCAAGTTACTCATGGCTGCTGCTTCACCTCCTCCGCCGCCGGCTTTGGGGAGAGGGGAAGCCGGCGGGAGCGCCGGCCACGGAGCTGAGCTCTTGGGATCTTCCGAAGCCCCATCTAGGTGCCCGCCGGGCTTTGGGCACGCGCAGCCCCGGAGAAGAAGGAAGCAATCCCGCCGCGGGCTGACGCGCAATTCATCTTGATTGATTCCGGGGGGGGGGGTAATTGTGCCACGTGACGAAGGCGATGGAGAAATGCCCTTATATCTACATCGGCCTCTCCTCCACCCCACCCCACCCCCCCACACACCCCCAGGCCAGCTGCCTGTCTTCCTGCCTTCCTCGCTTCAAGAGCGCTACTACACCAAGACCCCGGCCTCCACGGAGTCCAACCGCGTTCGCCCTAAAGCCACCGTTTCTAGCTCTCGCCCGCTTTCCGTCCCCCCCCCTCCGCCCTTCCTCTCCTCTCCTTCGGAAGCAGAAGCGAGGGCGACCTGTAGATAGGGCGGCGGGTCACCTGGGCTTGTTAGCATTACCCAGGGATGCCAAACAACGCTAACCAGGCTGTCTCTGCCATCCCCCCCCCTCTCCTTCTCTCTTTAGGAGCACAAGCAGCCCCCGACCAGGCAGCCAGAGAGCCTGTAAAGCCAGAAAGGTATGCCGGGGTAATTCTTCCCTCCCCTCCCCTCCCCTCCCTTCCCTTCCCTGCTCCGTGAACCAACCCCCTAATATCAGATTATGGCATCTTCATTAAAAGTGACAGGCTAGCTAGCTTGTTGCTAAGCTCTTTCTCCCCTTCCCTCCCCTCGCTTTCTTGCTTTCTCGCTCTCGCTCTTCCTCTGACAGCCTCGGTGGCAAAGGTTCTGGGAGCAGAGTGGGGCTCTTCGCCTAGGGCGCCTTTCCCCTCCCCCCCCATGGTTCTTCCCGCTTTTATTTTTGAAAGGGATTCCCCAAATCTCTGTCGGGCGGAAAGACCTTCCTCTCTAGCCTTCTGTTCGATTATTCTCTCGCATACACTGAGGAACATGCGCGCTCCATACACTTTGGTGCAGAGCAACCCACAGAGGAAGGGTGGAGAGTGGGGGAAAAAAAAATGATGACACCTGAATATCTGCATGATGAAAGGGTTCCGCGTCAGATATTTTAGGGCGGGTGCAAAGGAAGATTCCTTTTCGAGAGTCCAGGGGCTGTTCGGCCGGTCAAAGTCATTCGAAGGAGAAGGAGGACATTCTCCTCCCTTCGGGTCTGCTTTTCAATAGGGACTGCAGGAGTACCTTTTGTTCCCCTTCCATCTCAGTCGCGTGCCCTTGAAACAGCCCCAGCTTCTCCACCCTGTGTGTTCCTCTTGCCCTTGGGCTGCACAGGGAAGGAAGAAAGGAAGGAAGGAAGGAAAGGAAAGGAAGGAAAGGGAAAAAAGGGAAAGAAAGAAAGAAAGAGAGAGAGAGAGAGAGAGAGAGAAAGGAAGGAAGGAAAGAAAAAGAAAAAAAAGAAAGAAAGAAAGGAAAGAAAGAAAGAAAGAAAGAAAGAAAGAAAGAAAGAAAGAAAGAAAGAAAGAAAGAAAAGAAAGAAAAGAAAAGAGCACAGCCATGGAGAAAATCCCAGCAAGGAGAGACACATTCCACAATTCATTTGAATTCCAGAATTCAAATGTCTCTAGAAGACCCATCTGTTTCACTTCCTTTCTTTCCCCACCTATCCTGATTAAACTGCCATAGTCAAGTTTACCTCCAGGATGTTGCTTTGCCTTTCAAGCGAAAAGACATCTTTCTAAACAAGCATCTTTTTAAGGGAACCAAGCTGAAAAATAATTCCAAATATATTTCTACATCTTCTCTCCACATGACATCTAATTAAACAAATTAGATCACACTCTAGAAAGCAACTAGCAGTTTCTTTTCTCACCTAACTTCATTAAGCTGCCATAGTCAAGTTTAACTCCAGGATATTGTTTTTGCCTTTCAGATGAAGCACACCTTGCTAAACACACATCTTTAAAATGCATCAAACTGAAATATAATTCCAAATGTATTTCTATATCTTTTCTCCAAATTACATCTCACTAAACAAATTATATCAGACTCTAGAAAGCAAACTAGCTGTGATGATCCTAGCAATAACAATCCAAAACATGTGTGACATTATCCATATTACAATAAAAAAAAATCACTGTAAAAGGTGGTTAATTGATGAGAAGGTTTCTTTTGTTGAATATTAGCAGTACGGTGGAGAAAGGAAAGAGGGAAGGGTAGGGAATTTGTAAACTGTAATGAGGAAAGACAAAAGCCAAACTATCCTGTAGACAAGTATAACATTCTATGCCAGAAATTATTTGCTAGCACTGCTAGTCTTAGTCTATTTAAAATGTTTTAGTTAAAAAGTGTTTAAGCAGATATGCATGTGAAGCATTTTGCACATGTATGTGCGATTATATAATATATTCCTTTACACAATTATATAATACATATTACACAAGCCGCTCAGGGTCGCTTCGAACCGCGATACGGACAGCAAATATATTTAATTATTACTATTACTATGGCTCCACACACCTACCAACAGATGCCAAAACAGGTGAGCCAACAAGTTTTCAGAATTGTATACATAACAATATCTTAGTAACTCTATGAAATTAGTGGGAACACATAAATATTGCAGGCTGGCGATGCCTCTGGCTTCCGCAGCAACACACACTCACACACACACACACACACACACAGACCCGCACTTCGCCTCTTTGCATTCTGCTCTAGAAACGAAAGAGAGACAAATACTTTTCAGCAGAGCCAAATCAAAGGCACTTTCCCTCTTTGGAAAAGGAAAAGGGAGAGGGGAGCTAATCTGTGCCTCAAGGCTGTCCAGCCTCCTGCTCCCTTGGAAACGTCCACCTGAGACACGCCTTGGATCCACCAAACACCTGAGATTCGACCATCATCTACCTGCCCGGCACCCTCCTTCGCAATGAAAACCACCCCTCCCGCTTTTCAAGGCGCAGAATTTTTGCTTCTGCTTCTGCTGTCAATGGACCCATCCGCCCCCACCTCCCCACACCGGCAGTGGCGCAGCTTAAAATGGCCCCCGTATTCCAAATCGCAATAGCGAAAGCAGGGTGTGATCTCCTGGGTTTACCCTTCCTCCGGTAATCTCCGGACTGGCAAGTGTGAATCTCGCCGAGACGGTTCCACCCAGGACTTTTTCTCATTCGACCGACCCCCCCCTCCTTTCCATTCCCTCCCCCCTCCCTCACACACACAGACCAAAAATAAAAATAAAAAATCCGGACACCGACAGCTCAGCGCAGAAAGTAACCCGAAGCTCAAAGCCAAACCGCTTGAAAGACTTACGCTTCAGCGAACTAGGTTCCACCATTTCAAGTTCAAGGACGCGGCTACCGTTTGCTAACCAGAAAAGAAGAAGAAAAAAAGCAGGGCGGGCGACGGGGGCGATCCGAGGAAGAGCCTTCCGCTCTTCTTCCACCCTATAAAGCCGAGGAACCGATCGCAGCTGCGGGGGTCTTCCGGGTGGCTCAGACCTCCGGAACTGGAACAAGCGGCTGACTCACTGCGGGATTCGGCCGCCTCTTAATAAATATATCTCTGCACCCCACCCCCACCCCTTTCCCCTCCCCGGCTCCTCATCCGCTGCAAACGAGCGCTGGGGGGGTAGCATACCCTGCGGAGACGTTACCGTTTGCCGTCTTGGAAGCCTGCCGAGGTGAGGCGAGTGACAGCTCCGAAGAGCCTCCAGGGGAATCGGGGACGGGTCGCCCGGTCTTCGGAGAGGGCCCGCCGGCTCCCGTCCCGCGGCTTTGCCCGCTCCGCGCGGAGGAGAAGACGCAGCAGACCCAGCCGCATTTCGGTGCCACCCAAGATAAGGCACTAACTTGACCTTAACTTTGTTGTGGCGCCCCTCGTATCTGGTGAAGAACGTGAACAGACACTGTCTGGCACCTCTCGTAAAAGCTGACTGGAGAGGCGATCCTGCGTCATTTCATTTATGGCCTCTCCAGGTCTGCGTCTCTCCTCCCTGTCAAACTTCGCGTTATTTATGCGCTTTTCGGAAGCACAAAAGCGCCCACCGCCGCGGAAAGGCGAGCCGAGCAGCCTGCCCTCCCCTCGTCTTATCAAAGTCCCGGGGACCGCACCAGCTCAGCCTATCAGAGCGAAGGGCAGCTCCTCCGCGCCAGCCAGATGCGGATTTGGGAAGAAGAGCGGTTCGCGCGCCTCTGTCGCCGAGGAAGCCTCGCCTGACAATCCGGTTTGGGCGTGTTTTTGCCCCGAGGGGGGCGCGCGCGCGCGCGCGCGCGGGCACGCTCTCTCTCCCCCCCTCCCCGCGCGAGGGCATACTTAACTGCACACTAGCAACAAAAACCCAGAGGTCCAGCACACCACACCACATCACACCACACCCGCGGCGGATTACGCAGATCCGACGGTTACAAATTCGGCTTGGTTCCAAATTTATTCTTCTGAAAAAAAAACAAAAACCCGAAGAAGATCATTATCCCTTGGGCCCGCTTAGGAAACCATCCGCAATCTTTTTTTAAACGAAACAAAAAAAAAACCCAAAACGAAACGAAAGCTCTGATCTCTGTAAGGGAAGGCTGCCATAAGTCTGTCCTTTTCCTTGTTGTGTGTATGTATGTGTTGGGGGGGGGGGGGAGAGAGAGAACTCTGTGTTTTATTACGGAGCTTTCTTTCATTGGAGTAAACAAGTGCGAGGGCTGCGTTTGTGGTAAGCGAGGAGAAATTGATTTAATGTTGGTGAAGAAAAACAAGTCCCCTTAGACGTGAATATCTGCGTTCTTACAGAGAGGTGTTTGTACTGCGTTAGTCGGGATTATGGGAACGATCTGTGGTCGACATGTAAAAGGAAAATATGGATTGAAAATACGGAGAAGGTGACTATCAATTTATCTCCCAATTAGCTATCTAGCTATCTCTAAATTAGCCCCAAATAATCTGGCATTATTAGCTTTTATATGCTTACCATCGCACACCGAAATACAAATCAAATATATCAAGTATATCAAATATTCCTGGGTGCGATACAGGAAAAAAAAGCATTTTATATCCTCGATGAATAAACGTTCTGTTCGCTGGCTTAATCAAAATAAATCTATAGACAAATCACCTAGCATGCATACTAGACAAAGCGATGTTTCTACTTCTTCCTTATTTTTAGTTTAAGGACAAATATTGGTAAAGATAAATATTGCAAAAAGACAAAAGCCACAACAGCTCAGGAATAATTATGCTAAATAAATAACACATGGCTACAACGCTATTTTTCTACAGCTACAACTGTAGAAATGAAAGAAAGAACTCATTGATTTTACGAGTGTATAGGCTAATATGAAAAAGTGCTTGTTTTTTTATTGGCTTTACTGCTTTACTAAAACACTGATATCTATTGGGCCCTTGATAGCATAGCAGAAAATGTGTACTATAAAATTCAGAAGAAACCAGTAGAATCTTGTTCTTGGAATTCAACTATTTGCAGATTTTGGGGTGGGGTTTTATTTCAGTGTTTTAAAAATCATTAAATATTTAGACTATTCTAATAATATAAAATCAAACCACAGCATTTGTCTTTTTCCTTTAGAAGCTTGTTGTATTTTTAAAGCATTTTGTATTTTGTAAAATGACTATAGCCACAGTCATTCTTCCTGAAATATAATTCTAAACGGTCCTTAAAAAAAAAAAGTTTAAAGCAATCTCATAAGTAAATGAATCTTGTAATTCCACATTAAATAAAATATAATAGATGCCTTCACACACGACATACCACCATTATCATAATTTACTAATTTAAAATCAAATACATCTCAGCAGGGATGTGGCATAAATAGTGTTAAACTGATTTTTCAAATTAAATTAAGATTATGTATAATTTATATCATATATAATATAAATCCTCTATTATTTTCTCCTTTTAGGTAGATCGCAGAGATTTTTTTTTTCTTACAGAAGGCATTGGTAGAATTTTTTTTAACCATGAAAGTTCAGAGCAGAAATATTGTCTGAACGGTGGGAGGAGTGCAATCATATTGCATAAAATACTTTTACTCTCTTTTGTGAAAGAAAGGAAAGAATGCATGCCCCGGCCCTCATTTTTAAAATAATCCCGCTAAAATGTCGCTCAGAAAACAACGCGACCGGATTTACAGGATTATCCATCAAAGCACATTCTTCTGATCTCTGCGCCTGAGAGGCAGCGAGGGGGTGAGGTGTGTGTGTGTGTGTGTGTGTGTGTGTGTGAGAGAGAGAGAGAGAGAGAGAGAGAGAGAGAGAGAGAGAGAGAGAGAGAGAGAGAGAGAGAGAGAGAGAGAGAGAGAGAGAGAGAGAGAGAGAGAGACGGGGAGGGGAGGGGAAGCCAGACTAGGGAGAGCGATTTTTGTATGTGTGTGCCCTGCTTGTTGTCTGTAGCTCCGGGACAAGGCCAAAGTCAAGCTAAACCACGAAGAGACGCCCGCGGGAAAGAAAAAGGCGGAGTGCACAGCCAAGGGCAACGGTTGAGGAAGGGAGGGAAAACTTGGAAAAACCGAACAGCCTTGCAAGACAAAGTGACTCGGCGTTGGTCAGAGGGACTGGGGGCCGGGTGAATGAAGCACGCGTTTAAAAAAAGAAAGAAAGAAGAAGCAAAACGCAAAATAAGGAAGAGTTTGGGAGCCTCTTTCTTCTGAGATGAAGAAAAAGAAAAAGAATTTGCCCTTGACAATGGGCGGAGTGGGTCTCCTTCCCCCCCCCCCCGCTCTTGCTTGTTGAGAACGAAGAGGATCTCTCTTCCCCTCCCCCTTCTTCTCCCCCTCTCCCCACACATTCATCCCACACAACACAGGGCCCTCATATTGCCCCGGCCGTTTCTTCTATTTGGAAGGGGGCCAGAGGATCTGGGCAGAGCCCGGCGGACCCAGGCGAAGGTTGCGAATCGCCAGCAGTATTTCAGAGAACTCTGGAACAGACCCAGGTGAGCAAAGAGCCTTCTTCGTCTGCCCGGTCTCGCCGCTCCGACAAGGCTCCGATTCCGAGATTAACAACAACAACAAAAAAAGGCCTAATTCAGGTTGCAGGAAAGATCTGGTTCGGGACAGTCAAAGGGGAGTGTGTGTGTGTGTGAGCTAGGGGTAGTGCTCGAATTCCAAAGACTTAACTGCGTTCTGATGGAAGAAAGCAGGTTAGGCTCGGAAAGAGGTTTGGCGGCCGAGACTTTTCCCCAGAGCGCAGAAGAAAGGCAATGAAGGCTTCCAGCACCCGCCGCCCCTTCCTCGGCCAAAGGGGAAAAACCGCTTCCGAAGCCGTAGAAAGTGACAAAGGAAAGCGGGATGAGCCGGGGACACTAGCCGGCCTCGGCGGCTCCTGGAAAAGAAATAGCAGGCAGGTTAAGGCGGAAAATGGAAGGGAGGATCACGCGACGCCCCTGAAGGCCTCAGGTTCGCCCCGAAAGCCAAAATTAAAGCGCAATCGCGCCAGACAGAAAACGGAGGTGCTGAACCAAATACCCGGGTTACCAAATAATCTGCGCAAATTTGAGGATGGGTGGAGGGCGATGGATGCTCTGCGAAATGTTTTTGATTTTGCGGAAGCCGGAAAACCAGAGCTTCACCCGCCTTCTGCAAAAGAAAGGAGGTTATTTTTGCCCAGACTGCCGTCGGTTCCAGACCAGCATCGCTCTTTATCCTTCGGGGCCCCGTTTCGTTTCTTCGCCTGCGAATTAAAGACGAGATGGAGGCGGGTGGCAAGGAGCCAATCGGTCGAAGAAAAATCGGAGGGAAGGTCCGCGTTTCTTTTCTTGTTTTCCTCACCTGACAAAGACGAGCCCGGCCAACCTGCGGACCTCAAAACAATTTATGAAGAAGAAAGATCTGGCCTTGCCTCCCTTCTAAGTCTCCCCACCGGAATGCTACTCCGGAAACCGCGGTTCTGGAGACCGGGGCTCGGAGATCCAGAAGGAAGCTCCCGGGTGAAAGGGTCGCCAAGCTTCTAGTCCCCATCGAGCGCCTGCGGTTGACACGGTCGCCATTCGCCGCCGTCGCTTCTACATCCTCCGGTTCTGGACCTAAAGCTTCACCCTCTAGTCGCCGAGAGCGAGTCCGGGAGACGGTCCTCTCCTTTCCTGTCGGCTGTTGAATTCTTGGAGGAAGAGCGGGCCTTCCAGCTTGGCCCTCTGCTGTTTGGTGTAAGGCGCCGCTTGCTCGGAGTCCTTCCTCGACCAGGATCCGAGGCAACCCTGCAACAAACAGAGTCAGGGGTCGGGGTTTCCCAGAAGGAACCGTCTCTCAGGCTGCCGCCGGTGAGCGTCGGGGAAAGCCGTTGTATCTGAGAAACAAGAGGGGCGCAAGGAGCCGAGGCCTCCGGATGAAAGCAGTGGAGGGATGGGCCGGACACGCCAATGCACTAAAACCCTTTCTCGGGCCCTAAGGCCACCTTGACTACTAATACGCGCGCCCTGAACTTAACATGAAGCACGGAGCCAGGATCCCAACCCTTTCCTTGAAAGAAGCGCATTTCTTGAAATCGGGCGCTCCTAAAGGTTGGCTCAGGACGTGGACTGAGGTGGAGGGGGGGGCTTGAAACCCGACCCGCCGGAGTCTGGCAGCGGGGGCGGTGCTGCCGCGCTGGAAGCGAAAGCAAAGCAGTGTTTAATGGCCTCGGGGGCCTTTGAACGTACCGTCGCGCCGGCAAGGTCGCCGGCCAGGCTGGGCGGGCTGGAGTGGTAGTGCCAGGTTCAAGTTGACGGCTTGCCGGAGATCCACCCAGAAGCCCCAAGCGCGGAGGGCCATACCTCGCCAAAGAACCGCCGCCGGCCACCCCTGCGGCTCCCGCGGGATCTACCGCCCGCCGTCATCTCCCCGCCGCGGTTTTCAGCCGAAGCTTCGCAGCTCCCTCGTCGGTCGTCCTACTCCGGGTTTAACGGCCTTCGGTGAACGGTGAAGGCCTTGCGGGCGTATCCGGCCGGGTTTTGCTGCTGCGGGAAACGGAGGAGCGGGAAGAGGTCAGCCGCCCCGGCCGAAGTAAGCCGGACGAGGGCGACAGAACATGCGTGGGTGGGGGTGGATGGCCCAGACCGCGGGCGTCCTGCCAAATCCTGGAATTCTGCGCAGGAGACAAGGCGGAGAAGTAGAAGGAGCCGTAGCCGAGGGCAAGTTCAAGATGGGGGCCGGATAGCCGAGGCCTCCTGGTCGGATGCTGCAATGGCGATGGCTCTGTGAGCGAA